TTGCGGAATATCTCTCAAGGACAGTGTCCTTGTGACATGACTCGAACTGGATTTGCTGTTCCTCCTTTGCTGCCGCCAACAGCTACTCCACATATTTACTTCGTATATCGTAAAATTACTTTTAAAACCATGATTTTGTTTTCATCCAAACACCTGTTATAATATTAGCATAGTTAGAATTGAACTCAACTGATAAGCTTCATCTTCAATTATGCAAGCTTATTATTCTCGTGGCTTTTGGGTGGATTCTAAATGTTTGTATCTGGATTTGCGAAATCCACTACCCTTTATGAACAAAACCGTAGAACAAAGAGTATTTGAAACTACAAACAAAAGCATACTACTGCGTTATAATTAGAAGAAAAATAATGCCAGCATCCCACAATAACAACATTGCCTTCTACCATTGATGATGCGCCTTCTTCACCCTATTTCCGGAGCAGTTTAGTATTTTTAAATTCATGTTTTATATTTAGTCCTCTTGAATAATTACAATTTTTAAGATCCTTTCTAATAAACATTATCTTTTTTAGGTCCTTGTTTTTAAATTTTCCCTCTTATCTCTCTTCTACAATAAATGTTTACTCAGTGTATATTCATTTATCAGTTTAAACTAAATTTTACTAATAAGCTTTCCCTCTAACGTGTTGGGATACTAAAAGCGATATAAAAACATTTCAAAAAAAATATTTCTATTACTTTTTTTTGTATCTACAATTAATTGTCGAATGAAGAAAAAGATAAAACAAAATGTACATACCTCCTTCACTTATGTATTCGCAAGAAAAAAAAAATCATGGCAATAAACGGACTATAATATATATATATATATATTTTTTTTTTTCTTCTTATGGAACATATTTTTTAACAATAAAAAATTTTCGAATTTTTTAGTCCCAAGATTCCAAGAAGAAATTTCAGTGTTAAACAATTCAAAATTCATTTAAATTCACAGTTTTTTTAGAATTATTAAATTCAGAAATATCTTATCAATAATAATTTCAAAATGGCGTCATATTTAAATTGATGGTGACCATTTAAGCACACAATCTTGCGGTCCAGTCCCTATGAATATGAAAAACATTTTTAAACGAGTTACTTCCAATTCAACCTCACAACACTTGATAAATCAAGAGAGAAAAATGTAAATTAAGAAAGCAAAATGTTCCAAGCCAAATTGAGAGAGAGAGAAGTGCAATAGAGCCATAATTTTAAATGTCATAAATTATTAGAAGGAATTATCCTTCATTAATTAAGCAACAAGTGACCCAGCAGCTTTCACGGACACAATACAACAGTGAAAGAGGGAGGAGATACTCTTATAATTTTTTTTCCTCCTCTTCTTCTCAGAATCTTATTTCTTCCGTTAGATCAAATTAAATAATGAAAGATTCGGATTTCATATTTTATAAAACTATTACTATAATATAATATGAACTATTCAAAGGATTTTGAGATAATAACCAAATCTCATTTTCATTACTGTCCCTCGAAATGCCAGTATCTTCAGAAGAGTCAGAATTTTTAGGACAGAACACAATCTTATACGCCCACCTGCTATATATAATTCTGAATCTTGAACCAACCCTCCAAACTAGAGGACGAAATGCTTCGTTTTTGGTCACGTGCATTTTAATTCTTGTCTTTTCAACGAAATCCTGTCTCCACAGGCCACAGCTGTGTGGTCGTAATAGATTTGCGGTTGTGGTAGATGGAAAAGAGGGAGACACGTCCATGAAAAAAAAGGCGAAACATCAGCGATGAAGCTATTAATGTTCTGTTCTATCCGTAGTAATTAATAAATCATATATTATCTTCATTTCTTAATATAAAATTTACTTAACTAATTTGATTAGATTAAAAAAAGTGGTTAATTAGTTATTTGTTAAAAATATGTATTGGTTTTCCTAAAATACTCTTTTAAATCATTTGAATTGAAATTATCTTATAATGCCAATTTTCTTAACACATGCACTCAATAGGCTTAGTTTGAATAAATAAAGGGGACACAATAGATGAAAGTTTTATATTTAGAATTGAATTCAACCCTCTATCAGTTCTTATATTAAGAACTGGAGGTAGTATAACAAAGTGAAAGAATTTATAAAATTGAATCTCAAAGTTTTAAGTTAAGATCTTATGTTTTTCGAAATCATTCATTCGTTATCTCCATTCGTTTTCAGGATTCGCTCCCTTTTTCTATCTTGTCCTGATCAGCGACAGCCAAATGCTTATTTCAAGTGTTATCATTTAAAATTCTAAGATATTTTTCGCTAAAAAAAAAATAATTCACTCAAAAAATAATTCCATGATCTTCGTAAGTTTCTAATTAAAGTTCTTCACGTGCTCTATAAAAAAAAAAATTACAGAATGGTTCAAACACATGCTCATTACTTCCAGAAAAAAGCGCGAAAGTTTACTGTTCGTTAGCTCATACAGTTTTTTTTCTTTTCAAAATTTACTATAACTTCAAAAATTCATAACTTACCACATGTATGTTCAATTTTAGCAAACTAGGACTTCTTTTGAAGCTTGAGATATTTATTATTTACTTCCAAGATTTCGTGATCAAACTAATTCAGCTGCCCACAAAATTTCGTCCTAATTAGTGCTTCTTCATCCTTCAAATTCATTTTTTACTTGATCTTATTAGATCCCATTTTCCTCACGTTTGCTTATACTTTTAACATGCTTGATGATATTTGACATATTCAAGTGACCATCCACATACCAAACAAAACACTATAAGTCACATAATATACTATTACTTCTTATCATCAATATAAGAGCTAGATAACTAATTTGCAAATATTGAGAAAATTAGTCAAGTTAGTTTTTTTTAATAAATAGGCATTATCTTTTGTAAAATATCTTAGTTAATCATGTACATGATAATATAAATCATTTAACATGTATAATAACCATAGAGACTACTTTACTAAAAGAGGCTAAATATGGAAGATAAAGTGGATTGGTATTTTATATTTATGACCAAATTTAATCTCCAACTAGCTCTTATATTTAAAACCAGAAGTAGTACATAGCCTTCATATATTAGGCACGCAACTTTCCCTTCCAAAATAAAAACAAGTATGGAATATTAAATCTTTCATTCTTCATTTCCACCTCTTTGCCCTTCTCTTGGATGAGCTTGCTCCTACATTAGTACATTGTCAAAGAGGAGTGAGAATTCAAAAGAAATATCATTAGCAAAATCACCAAGAATAATATTAACGACTTCAACTCAATAATATGCCATGAAATGGGAACATGCACAACGCCAGGACGCGTACACATAGTAAGGATTTACATGTTCAACCATAAACTTTAACTCAAAAATATGGAAAACAACCAACACAGCATTAACATTGAAGTTAGTTAACTTTTTCTACTTTTCTCACTTAATACTTTGTTCTTTTCTCCTCTTGTATGTTGTATTCTTATAGGTCATTTGCAAATGTCAAAGCCTAAATATGAACATGGCATATTGGACATTACTGACCATTCATAAGATATAGATTAGGACGCTAGGAGGGTTAATCCTCTCTATTTTGTTTTTTGGTAAAAGTTAATCCTCTCTACTTGAACTTTATATCCACTTTGCTGCAAAATTAATTCCACATGTTATTTGTCCTAATTTTTTGTATTTAGAATCCATATTTAAACTCCAATTTAACGAACTCACACTCCTCCTCCTACAGTTTGCTTAGGCTGAAATATAGAGGATTTTGGCAGAATTTTCCAATTTAAAATCTAATGATTCCGAAATCATTTTCTCACTTTCACTTTTTGCATCAAAATTAACAAATTCCCTCTCCTCCATATTGCCTCACTTTTACTTTTTGCGTCAAAATTAACAAATGCCCTCTCCATGTTGCCCTGTTCAGCAGTGGGTATCTAACGGGAAAGAAAAATTGAGTTTTCAACATTCCATTTTATGCACTACCATATAATTCAGTCCCTAATTATCATTTCCTTGATTAATCATGATATAGCCTCAAATCAAACTTTCTACGTTTCTTGAAAATTTTGACAGCATCACCGATTCACCGGCCTCCCCTAACCCTCGAACCTCGACTTTCTCCCTTGCTAATCATATCATCAAGAGAGATTTGGAGACCATAAGGGCTTCAAAAACAAGTACTATAAATCCTTCAGCATCGACAAATACATTTTTTTCTCAGAAATTGAGCTTGAGTTTAAAGTGTTAAGTCACATGATGCTTAACAATTTTGATTATAAATAATGATAATTACGATTTACGAGCTCAACAGTTATCACTATCTTTTACTGGTTATGGAGAGGGTCAATATTCGGCAAATAAAATTATTGTCAAGCAAGTTTCTAAGGACCGCAATCTAATTAGCTTATTTCCTGAGACTTGTATATCAATATCTTATTTAGTGGTCCTCATATTCTTTTTTTTTTTTAAAAGGAAAAGTACTGATCGTATAGTTTAATGTCACGTGGATATATATTGAAGAAATAGTAATAATAATAATACACAATTTTAAAACCTTGTCCCCTTGCCAATGAAAAAGATAAAAGGAATCTATATAAATATCAACCAGTAAGTCTAAAATTTGTCACTTGCAGATTAAAAATGAGAAGGAGGTTCATTACTTTAATTTCAAAAAATTGGGTCAGATTTAAATTGACGGTGACCACTTAAAGCGCGAAGTCTTGTGTTGCAATTGGTGTTAACGTAGAAAACAATTTTAGGAGAGTTACTTCCAATTCCACCCAACAATACTTAAAAACTTAAGAAACCAAAAATGGAAAACGAACCAACATACAAGCAAAGCACTCAACAAATTAATAAAGCAAAATGTCCTAAACAACAAAAAATTTACAAGCACAGAGAGAGAGAGAGAGAGAGAGAGAGAGAGGTGCAAGAGAGCCAGTTGAAGCATAATTTTATTTAATCGTCACAAATTATCACAAGGAAATATCATCCAAGTGATCTTATTGATAGACGATTTGATACTTCTCTAGACTCATCAAGCTTCAAGTGACGGAGATTTCACGAACACAACAGCGAAAGGGTTTCCATTAGAGATAAGCAAACGCCTATTTCCATAATCATCACTTGAAATCCCAACATCTTCACAAGAACCAGCATCGGTTAGACAGAACACAATCTTATACGCCAAGCTATCGTAATTCTGAATCCTGAACCAACCCTTCAAAGTGTTATCGTAACCAGTGATTTTCACAGACTTAGTGCCTTCCTCTCCCACAACAATGGTCCACTTGGACGGTGCAGGAGCACATATGGGTACAGCAATGAAGGAGATATCCACATTCATGTCTGTTGTGATGGTTGCAATTTTTAATGGTGATGAAATTCTCAGCGACAAGCCGTTTCAGACTTCCGATGGTAATTGCCCGGCGGTAAGAGGGCAAGTTTCGCTGTCCGTGCTGGCTACGTCTAAGCCACCGCCTTTTGCAAAAATATCCGGGAGGATGTAGTAGGCGCCGCCGTTGTTACTAACCGGCTCACCGTTTGCGTCAAGGACAACATCGGCTGTGGCCGAAGAAGCGAAAGCAAGGAGAAGGAAGAGGGCAAACATGGTGGTCTTCATTTGCTTTGTGTTTCTGGGATGTTGTCTTTGTGTTTAGAAACAAGAGGATGAAGGGTTCTATTTATTTACAGAGCTTACATTGTATGAGAAGGAGGGGTAGTTTAGATATTACTCGACGCAGGTTGACACCAAAAAAAAATTTTTAGTGACCACATTAAAAAGTCCCCGGTAATAGTTACTTCAAGGGCGATGACTTTTAAGGTGGTATTTGGGTAACTAAGAAAGTATTTTTAAAAAGCACTTTTTTACAAATTGAGACAAACTCTTTCACATATTTACTTTGTATACTGTAAAATTACTTTTAAAACCATAGTTTCGTATTCATCTAAACACCCTCTAAATGTCTCACTGAAAAGAATGAACTTTACATGAAAAAAAATGAACTTTCAAGAGTGAAATCAAATACTGCAGTTGAAAATGTGACTTTCAGTCTCTTGAAGGATGACACCGTCAATGAAATTGGTGGTGAATGAACCTAGAAAACGAAATGTTCTGTCTGTGGGCACGAGCGCGTTTTAATTCTTATCTCTGAATAAAATCTTATCATCACAGGCCATAACTGTGTGGTACGAAACGGCGGTTAGTTTAGCCGTTACACGATGCAAGTTGACACCCCAAAAAAAAAACAAGAAGATTATCACGTCTTGAAATTCAATTATGACTGATTTTTGGTAGTTGCCAATAATGTACTCCCTTCGGTTCTATATATAAGCTTCAAATAATTGAATCACGTTTAACAAACTAACAGTTAAAATTAGTTAAAAATATTAAATATACTAGAAATGTATCTTCTTTTTTTGGTTTAAATTTGCCCTTATTTATTAAGAGAGTAAATGAGAGAAGCAATAAATGAAAAAAAATGATGAAAGAGAATATATAGAAGTAATATTAATGATAGAGGGGGAGTACTAAATACAGTCACCTAAGGGCAAAACAAGAAGGAAAAAAATAAATACTCAAACAAACTCAAAAATGAAGCTTATATTTTGAACCGGATCCCTCTTTAAAAGTGAAGCTTATATATAGGACCGGAGGGAATAATAGTTTTAGTGAGGGGATTAAAATGTCGCCATTAATAGTCACATTTTAGGTGAATCCCATGATATTTCCTGATTCCACTTATATGAGTTAGCCTAATCATTTTTAGTGGGTTGTCTTAATCCTCACCTCTCATTATGCCCAATGAGATCTAAATATCACTGTTAAAAAAAAAAAAAAAGAACCATCCATAGTAAAATCAATCAAATATCGCGGTGGACAACTTTTAAAATTATTCTTTATTCAGAAGATTTACTATGAAATTGGTGGGGTGTGAAACTAGAGGACAAAAAGTTCTATTTATATTACCCAAAAAAAAATGTTCTATTTATGGGCACGTGCATTTTAACTATTGTCTTTCAAGCAAACCTTGTCTCCACAGGCCACCGCTGTGTGGTTATGATGGCTGTACGGTTGTGGTAGATCGACCAACGACGGAGACACGTCAGAGATCAAGGTATTAATGTTTCGCCCTACATATGTCCTTAATAATTGACACTTAATAATGTTTTGAGAATATTCTTTCACTCATCGTTTATCTTCTCTCAGCAATCATCTGGAATTTAACCTCCAAGGTTGTTTATAATATCTGTTTTCATTAGTCGCAAAAAGTATACATATGTGTGTAATTAAACCTATCTTTTGTTCAGATTTTAAGAAAAAAAGGCAAAAAAGACCTTAAAATTATAAAATTACAAAATGAGTAGCTCAATTAACAAAATTGCTATCAGAGATATGGTCTCAAATATGAATTATAAAATGTTGAAAAAAGGACCAAAATACTCTTTTTCTCTTTCTTCTTTGGCTTAGGTGGGCTACTGCCCAGGCAAATGACTGGACAAAATTGCAGGATGTGCTTATGTAATAAAAAACTGAAAAACAAAAAGCCATAGGGTCTGTTCGTTTTTGTTCTTTGTTTTCTAATTCTAAAAACAATTTTATAAAATTGTTTTTAGGAACAAGTTTTGGAAACAAAAAAAAATTGTTTGGAAAATAACTTTTAAAAAATATAAAAATTACACTTTGACAAGTGATAGTTATCACTGGTAGGGATAAGTAGTAGGTAGTAGAAGAGAAGAGATGAAGATTTCTCCAATTTTTCAAAACAAAAAAAATAAAAAACATAAAAACAAAAAAAAAAGTAAAAGTTGTTTTGGTTTTTTAGTTTTTTAAAACATTTTTTTGTTTTTTAAAACAATTAACTAAAAAAAATTGCTAAACAAGTTTTTTGGTTTTTCTGTTTTTAAAAACAAAAAATTATTTTCAAAACAAGAAACCAAGCAAGCCCATATATTCTCATGCGCAAGACCGCAACGGAGATGTTGAAGACGAAACTGAGGGAGAAGGGTTACGCACTCTTCATCCTCTTCATGCCTAATCTCTTTCTCCATAGCTCCTCCATTGCTCAGATCCCTTCCTGCTTAAACACTATGAGATCTGTCCTTAGATAAATGGCAAGCTTTTGCTTCTCCATAGCATAAAAGACAAAAAATGATTTATGAATTATGATTCCTTCTTCAGATAGTTTATCAATGAATACACGCACACACCAGATTTTCTAGATGCAATTAATCACTTTATGGCAATAAATACCAAGCTCCGTTTTATGAGAAAATAGACAGGAAAAACATACATCGACAGCCTAGTTCCAACCACTACATGTGATTCACGCGTACTAAAGTAATAAAAAAAAAAAAAAAACACAGCTAATTCACAGTGCAGTAAGATCAAGATATAATTTGTCCCCATGTTGTCATTCAGTTTTCTTTAGTGTACAATCTTGATGAAAATGAATATAATTTTCTTTATTTTTTTGGCATTGAGAGCAGTTGGAGAAACACAACAAGAGAAGAGATATACTCTCCTAAACTTGTAAAATACAAAAGACATAATTAAACTGTGGCTATTCAATGTTGATTAAAAGAAGTATTTAAAATTGAAATTTATAATAAGAAAACTTAACTTATTGTAAATAGCTTTTGAATACTTATTATTTCTCATACTAGATTTGTCATTGGCAACTAAATTGTGAAAATGATGTTAATGTCCGCTAAAACTTAAATTGTTGTGAATAACTTTTCAACACACCACAAAAAAACATGTAATTAGTGACGGAATTTAACGATAAAATTTTTTATTTAGCGACAGAATGGAATTAGCTATGGAATTTGTTTTGTCACTAATTCCTTTCTGGCTAATTGGATTAGTGATGAAATTTCAACTCCGCCGCTAATTAGCCACGGATGAGCAATAGAATTTTTCGTCACTAATTACCGACGGAAATTTTCTGTCTCTAATTATTCAGAGAAATTTTTGATGCAAATTAGCGATGGAATTTTTCTGTAGTTAATTCGTTGCTAACCCTATTTTTTTAAAAAAAATTAAAATGCCACGTGGCGTCTCTTCCAGTCACCAAATCATCACTAGTGACGATTGTTGACTACCTCCTCGTGTCCTTGCCACCTCGGCAATGATCGGCATAGGTCGCTGCCACCTCATCCTTTGCCTGCCACGTGTGCTGCCACCTCACATGTCATCTTGTGATGCCACGTGTCGCCACCACATAATTCTTCCTCAAAGTGACTTCTCCATGGCTTAAATCCAGGACCTCGTCTGCACACATATGTGGCTTTACTAGTTGAGCTGCAATGAACCTGTTAACTTACTATGCAAAATTAAATATCTATAATATTTTTTTGCACAAACAATATTATATACATATATATTATTAAAAACTAAAAATAAACTATATGATAATTTTAATCATAACTATTTTAATGACAAAATAATTTTTAAATATTTGTTTTACTATTTATGTTATACTGTGGTGTGAACCCAAAAGGGAAAAATCCCACGAATCTACAACTAATCTGAATATACACACCCCAAGAACATAAATGAAGGTCTGGTGATCCACTTGAACCCTTGAACACGAAAGAACAAGGACCCAAAGTGTTGAAAGACGCCACAAGGTTGATCAAGCCTTGATAAGTTTGTTAGTTCAATGAAGAACCCCAGAGAGAATCTCTCTCAAGTCAGAAATTGCAAAATGCAACCTTTTCATTCAAATTCTAAATCTGCCTCCAAAATAAGGGTTACAATATCTTATAAAGGATACATTCAGAAATCTGACCTAAAAAGCATTAAACGCAACCTAGAAAACCAAAATATAAAATACTAACTTAAATAAAATAATGAGGACTTGATTTAGGAAACTTGGAAACTCAAAAGTCAAATTTGCCAACAAATCATGAATTTTCGCTCAAATACATTTAATAAAATATAATCAGCATATTAAGCCCAAAATATGATTAATTAGGCCCAAATGAGTCTTCTCATGTGTTGTAGTTGATCCAAGCTCCCTAATTTGAAGTCTCCAAGCCCGAGATATGATTAGCAGCTCCATTTTCAGCCCAAATAATGTTAGTGACGTCCTCAACATTTTCATCCAGATTTGATACTCCAACAAATGCCATTTGCTTTGTCAAGGTGTCTTGCATTAGCCCACTCAAAGCTTCCTTAATTCTTTTAGCTCTTGCTCTTGTGATTGATCCAGTTGGGATTTGCAATCGATCACTGGAAGTTGAGGAGTTAGCTTGCTGCATCGCATCATAATGTTTTATTTTTTAAAAAATATTTTCAATATAATCTCAATTTCCAATGACACTAATTTTGAATTTAAATCATAAATAATTTTTTCATAAATATTTTTAAAATTTTTTAATTAACATTGATAAGATATCCAATTTAATTATATATATTATATTACATTATATTATATTATCTATATGTGATTTATATATTTGATGAAAGCCATTTATAATTAGTAAAAAAATCTAGTTATTCAAAAAATAACTAGTATAATAAAATCTAATAAATTATTCTAGTAAAAAAATAAATGATTTGAATAGATTATGATAAATAATAGTCTCCTACTTGTATATGTATGTATTCTATGTAATTTATTTTCTTAAAATTCTTTATATATACCATTTGTTTTGGCATAGAAGACCAAAATCAATGTATATCATGGGTATCAATTATATGCAAGGAACAAAAAACTGGACCGGTCAGTAAACCGGTTGAGACACTGGGTGGGTCAGACCGGGATCAGACTAGTAATAATTAAAATAATATCATTTAATTAAATATGTAAGAATATTCCTATTTTAACCAACAAAAAGCATTATTTAATTAATTTATTTATTTTTTCTTTTAATTCTCTCTCTTCTTCATACATTAAAATTTTTTCTGTTTTTACTTTTTTACTTTTATTTCACATCCTCGATCTTCAATCATGTGGCCTGTTTTACTTTTTCAAGTTTTCAGTTTTTTTTTATTCCTCCACTCTTTGCCTCCTGCCACACGGACCCATCATTTCAAGTTTTTAGTTTTTGCTTTTATTTTTCTCTACTCTTTCCCTCCTGCCACAGACCCATCAAATCACACCATTGCCTTTTGTTTCACACTTTCACTCCTCTACACCTGCACACCGATCTTATCTCTTCTCACCAAGCCTTCGCTCTCTTCTTTTTTCTCTCTTCATCCTTACCTTCAAATCTTCAATCACAGTCTCTCTCTCTCCCCTCTCTTTTTCCTTATTTTCCATGAGCAACATGAGCTGAGTCGGTGGGTCGAATACTGAGATAAAGATAGGTAGTACTAACAGCAGCGGTGACAGAGCAAGAAGTGAAGAGTGAAGACCACGGCTTAGCAACGATAGACACAGATGAGTTCTAGCATTCTAGATAGACTAGCAGAGAGATTTAGAGTTTCTTTTCTTTCTTTTTTAGTTTTTTTCTCCAAATATTCATTGTGTTTAATTTTTTTTAAATGTAAAATGAGCTCTTTTCCTGAGGTTGGAAGATTGAAATCACCAAACCGGGTAACCCATCTTAACAGGTAGTTTACCTAGTTTTTACCGGTTCTTACTGGTTGAATCGGTTTTTTACCAGTTTGAACATTGTCCTTTTCCCTCAATCAGACCGGATCAGAGACCAGTTCACTGGTTTTTCGGTTGAACCGGCCAATCCGGTCTGGTTTTTTCTTCATTGATTATATGATTGAAATTCAAAATTCATTTTAATATTAGTTTGTATTCATATAAATTTATTTTTTGGTTTTGAATATCTATTATATATTATATCTTTCAATATATTATACATATGATAAAATTATTTCTTTCTTATATCAATTTGTATAAGAAAGTTATTAATATTCTTATTATATTTTTTAATTATTATTAATAATCAAGAGGAATTGATTTTAATGAAATATAAACAAGTTTTCTAAGAAATTGTCTTCCTATTCTCAGCATGTACCTAATGATCACATGAATGATGATGATATATTTATTAACACCAACTCCACAAATATATCAATTTGTTTTACAATTAAAAATATATTTAAATCATTATATTTTTAATTATGTTATTATATAAATTGTTGTAAGATTATAATCTAAAATAATGAAATTTAAAATTAGTGACAGATTAACGACGGAATTAGTGATGAAAACTTTTATGACAAATAATTTAGCGACGGATATTTCTGATGAAAAAAATTTCGTCGCTAAATATTTATTGACATATTTTTTGACGGATTAGCGACAGACAGAAATTCCGTTGCTAATCTGTCGCTAAATTTAGTGACAGAATTTCCATAAGAAATTAGTGATGAAATAATTTTCCATTGCTAATTCTGTTCACTACAAAAAGATTGACCTTTAGTGGTGATAAAAACTCGCTTTTTAAAAGTTGTTGCCGTAGCGACCATGGTTGAAAACTTTTAGCAGCGACCAAAAAAGTTGCCACTGAAAGACACTTTTAGCAGTGACTTTTAGAAGTTTCAGTGGCGACAAATGTCACCACTGAAAGCTACTTTCAGTGGCAACCCTATTGTTGCCGCTAAAAGAACTTTTGGCAGTGACAAACCAAAATGACTTCCAGCGGTGACTTTTTTTTGTCACCGCTGAAAGTAATGCCTAAAAAAAATTGGCTTTAATGACGCAATGTTATCATCGTTGGCGCCACGTCATCATTCGCCACCTCCACCTCGTTGCTATCGGTCACCACATCATCACCGACTGGACACCACGTCATCACTAGCCACCTCCACGTCGTTGCCATATCACCACTCTCATGCCACGTCACTGCCCAAATATTTTCACCTTAAATGTGTCTTCTTCAAGATTCGAACTGGTGACCACCTCCTTTCGTGTCCAATCTCCTTGCCGTTGAGCTGGATTAAATTTGTTTATTATTATTGTAAAATAAAATATATTATTAGATTATACTTTGAGCAGCAACATTAGAAAGTCGTTGCTGAAAGTCAGACCTTCAGGGGTAACATTAGAAAGTCGCCATTGAAAGTTGGACCTTCAGTGGTGACACTAAAAAGTCGTTGCAGAAAGTGGACTTTCAGCTGCGACTTTTTTTGTCGCCGCCAAAAGTCATCGCCTAAAGTCTTTTTTTTGTAGTGGTTGATATTGAGCTGCTTTTTGTAATGACACTTGCTATTTCCCATATTAAATTTGCTATTGGCAACTAAATTGTGGAAGTAATGTTAATTTTTGTTAAAACTTAAAATTATTATAAATAACATTTCAAAACTCGTTATTTTTCATGCTAGATTTGTCATTGACAATTAAATTGTGAATATCCTTTCAACACTTGTTATTTTCCATGATCAATCATTAGCAAGAGTGTGAAATTCACTTATTTTTCCAATTTCATGAACTATAAAATAGTAAATATGACTATGATAGCAGCTATTTTTCAACTAAGTTAAATTGTTATTTCTAAGTCTGCAATAGCCAATAATAAGTTTGAAATAGGAAATTACAAGTATGCAATAAGGAATAACAAGTTTGAAATAAGGAATTACAAGTATGCAATAAGGTATAATAAATCTGAAATAGGGAATTACAAATATGAAATAGAAAATTACAAGTCTAAAATAGAAAATTATAAGTTTAAAATAAGGAATACCAAATCCAGAATAGGGAATTACAAGTCTATAATAAAGAATTACAAGTCTAAAATAGGAAATTACAAGTTTAAAATAAAAAATTATAAATATGCAATATTAAATAACAAGTTTGAAATAGGAAATTACACATCTGCAATAGAAAATTACAAGTATGAAATAGGGAGTTAAAAGTCTGAGAAAATTACAACCAAATAAAATCAAAAATATCATTTCATTTCAACCAAATAAAACAAATATATAATAATACTGAGAGAACGAAACCATACAATATTTGATGGTCGCAACAATTCAAAGGCTGCGAGGTTTGTTTCTGGGTTCCACATCAGCCCATGAAACATGCAAATGGTTTTGTTTACTTAATTATTAAATCTTTATCATGTCAATTTCAGAACAAACGTGACAACAGCTGGAAAATAGGAATATCATCTTTCATTAATTATCACTCGCTGCCTGCGTGGGCCTCGTTATAATATGGTTCTCATTTCTAATAGGGAGCATATATATTTTAACCCTAACTTTTTAAGTTGAAGGTATTATCCAGCCTGGAGGTCCTTTTTTTTAATTATTTTTTTTATTTTGAGCTCATAAATGGCGGGTTGAAGAGTTTGTGTTGTGCTGATGCAGCGTTGAGATGGAGAAGGGGGGTTGGGGGAGAAGGAGAAGGAGAGAGAGAGAGGAAGTGAAGAGAAGAGAAGGAGATGAGGCCGCCGAAGAAAGAGAAGAAGAATGATTGTTTTCTTTGCTTTTTTCAACAAATGGGGGTATTTTAGTACTTTTCTCAATATTTCATAATTTATATTTAAAAGCCGGTCTTGACAGAAATTTTGTTAATTCAAGAACTCACATTGCAATTGCATAATTTTTTGGGTCTTTATTTGCGATTTTTTCAAAAAAAAAAAAAAAAAAAGAGAGAAAGTAAACCTATCTTTTGAGCAATGTCTAGTGAGCTTAGAAAATCTGGACTTAAATTTCATAAATTATCACAGGGAAATATCATTCAAATGATCTTATTGATAGACGATTTGATACTTTTATATATAGACTCATCAAGCTTCAAGTGATGTAGCTTTCACGAACACAACAGCGAAAGGGTTGCCATTAGAGATAACCAAACGCCTATTTCCATCATCATCCGTTGAAATCCCAACATCTTCACAAGAATCAGCATCAGTGGGACAGAACACAATCTTATACGCCAAGCGACTGTAATTCTGAATCCTGAACCAACCCTTCAAAGTGTTACCGTACCCAGTGATTTTCACCGACTTTGTGCCTTCCTCGCCCTCAACAACGGTCCACTTGGACGGTGTAGAAGCACATAATGGTACAGCAATGAAGGAGATATCCACACTCATGTCTGTTTTGATGATTGCAATTCTTAATGGAGACGAAATTCTCAGAGGCAAGCCGTTTTGGACTTCCGATGGTAATTGCACGACGGTAAGAGGGCAAGTTTCGTTGCCGGTGCTGGCTAGGGCTAAGCCTCCGCCTTTTGCAAAAATATCCGGGAGGATGTAGTAGGCGGCGCCGTTGTTATCAACCGCGTCGCCATTTGTGTCCAGAACAACACCAGCTGTGGCCGAAGAGGCGAAGGCAAGGAGAAGGAAGAGGGCAAGCATGGTGGTCTTCGTTGCTCTTGGTGTGTAGAGAAGAGAGGATGAAGGGTTCTATTTATAGAACTTCCACGGTATGAGAAGGAGGGGCAGTTTAGATATTACCCGACGCAAGTGACACAAAAAATTTTGGGGGGGGGGGAGGAGAAAGAAAAAGATGATTACATCTTTGAATTCAATTATGATTGTGACTTTTTGTTGTCACTAAATTAAGTGTAAGAATTTTAGTTGCCACTTTAAAAGGTCCCCCATAATATATACTACATCTGGTTCTAATTATAAAATTTTATTTGTATACTATAAACGGAGTTTTATAATTTGGACTGGAGGTAGTAGTTCTTTAAATTGAGTGAGTTTTAAATGTCAATGGAAAAAAAAAACTTTTAAGGACGAAATCAAATACTTCAGTTTAAAATGTGACTTTCAGTTTCAGGGATAACTTTCAAGATTTCTCTTGAACATTCTAGCTGATTTTTCTTTTTTTTCGGAGGATGAAATTTAGTAGATTCATCTATGAAATTGGTGGTGAGTGAAACTAGAGAACGAAGTGTTCTGTTTATGGCCACGTGCGCATTTTAATTCTTATCTTTAAGTGAAACCTTATCATCACAGTCCATAACTGTGTGGCACGAAAAGTTTAGATATTACGCAATGCAAGTTAACACAAAAAACAAAAGAAAGATCATCACATCTTGAAATTCAATTCAATTATAACTGAAATTTTTTGTAGTTGCTAATCATGTAATATTTTTAGTGAGGGGATTAAAATGTCGCCATATTAATAGTTACATTTTAGGTCAATCCGTATGGTATTTTCCAAATTCACCCACATAAATTTGATTAATTTTAAGTAACAAGTAATTTCTCATACTAAATACTCTTCCGGTCTTTAATATAAGACCCATTTAACTAATTTGATTAAATTAAGAAAGTTAGGTAAGTTAGTTAATTATAAGAAAAGTGACACATTTTTCCTAAAACACCATAATCATCTTTCTTAACACCCTTTCTCCCTCTTCTACTTGATTATGGTTGAAGGAGTATCCATAGGGGTAATTTAGAGAAAATTAATAAATATGATAAATGGGTCTTATATTTAGGATCAAAATCAACTCAAAAATTAGATCCTATATTAAGGACCAAAGGAGTATGTTTTTTGTAGTTTTTTTTTTCTAATTTCATCTCTTCTCATTCTTAATACTTCATATTAAACGGGACTAAAAATCACTGTTAAAAAAAAAGAACTCTCTGTAGAAAATTAATCAAACATCGTGGTAAACTTTTAAAATTAATCTTTATTTAGAAGATTTATCTATGAAATTGGTGGGGTGTGAAACTAGAGGACAAAATGTTCTATTTATGGTTACGTGCATTTTAACTTCCGTCGTTCAAGCAAACCTTGTCGCCACAGGCCACCGTTGTGTGGCTGTGATGGCTGCACAGTTGTGATGGATCGACCAGCGACGGAGACACGTCAATTAAAAAAGACAAAACATCAGACATCAAGGTATTAATGTTTTGTCCTACATATGTCCTTAATAATTGACACTAATTAGAGAATATTCTCTCACTCATCGTTTATCTTCTCTCAGCAATCAGTCTGAAATTTTACCTCGAAATTTGTTTACAATATCTGTTCCAAACAACTAAATTTTATATTAAGAATAAGATAGATGTAGTATATTCTAGAAAAATACTCTTTAATTCTTATTATAAGTTTTCAATAACTAATTTGCGTACAACGAATAATTAGTTAAAATTAGTTAAAAATAATAAATATTATAAAAATATTTTTTTGTTTTTTAATATGTCTTTATAATAAATGAGAAAAATAATGAGAAAGAATGTGTGAAAAAATGTGATTAGAAAAAGTATAACGAATAAGAGAGAATAAATAATTAAGAGCATAATTGAAAAAGAAAATGTTAAGACAAACTTTGAAGCTTATAAAATAGATTAAACTCCTTTTCAAATTTGAAGTTTAGGGGAGCATAACAATCGTAATAAAGTAATTAGAAGGTGCGAAAGAATGGATTTGATGAACTCCCTTATTCCAGTTCCAAGCTGTAGCCGTTATCCATTATTGCCGAAGGAACCAGAAATCTGGCGACCCAAAACGTCCATAAGAGTCTCATCACCAAGAATCATCGAAGGTACAGCCATGGTAGAAGGCAGGAATATTGAGTATGAATGTGATGAAGGAATCAGAGAGAAGATGGGAGAAAGCAAGAGAGAAAGGTGTGAGAGATCTAGACTGATAGAAAAATGGGAGAAAACAAATGATGAACACCGGGATGAATTTGTGTGGAGGAAGAGGATATTTCAGTTCTGGAATCAAAGGGTTCCCATGATTACCAAAAGCACGACCTGCTCTTTAATTTTCTCAGCTGGAAACTCACAGAAAAATTAGAAGAAATCGCCTCTGATAGACCTGCTGCTAAACACGTCGTGGAGATATGAGAGTAAAGTGATTATTGTGCAGTTTCTGTGAACAGTCTGGATTACTCTCTTGTTTAATTCGTAAACGCACCGTTTTCACTAGCTATTGGTCCCTTAGTTTTTTTTTCTTCTTGTTCCCTTCAAATTCCAGATATTGGCTGCCATTTTTCCAGTCCTTGAATTTTGCTTCTGTTTCTAGCCTTTAGTAATTAATTTCCCAAAACTAACTACAATATAAACCAATAAATGTAATACTACCTTCAGTCCTAAATATAAAAGTTAGTTTGTAGTAAAAACGAGAGGTAGTATTATTTATTCTCACATAAAAGTAAAGATATAATAAAATATATCTACTTTTCGCCCATTTTATCCTTATTCTCACGCAATTAATTCCAAACATAATCAATAACAACAGATGTATTTAAGCTCATTTAACAAAACAAAATCCCCAAATAAGATGTAAAATATCATAATAAAATAGAGGTTTGTCACAGCAGATTAGGGTGACCATTCAATTCAAATATTAATATAGCAAGTTATTCAAAATGAAAACTATGCCAAAAGAAAGTTTACTTACCTCTTCCCCTTTTAGCACATGATTCGTGCTTTTTTTTAGTTCTTGCTCTAGCTTGCTGCCTTAGAACTCATACTTTGAGAAATCCAAAATCATAGGATCGGAATAAAGCTATTGATGAAAGGACCAACTTTTTTGGAGAGTATTTTCTATTTGAGGTGGTTTAGTGGGAGATTTAGCTTTATTTTTGTTTCTCTCACTTCTAAATATTTTTGCCTCCATTTTGGATGCTTGAAGCGCTCTCTTTCTCTCCCCCTTGCTTTGTGTGAACGAAAATGATGAAGAAAATGGAGGAGAGATGATGATAAATGGATGGTTCAATTATCACTACTATAAAATATAGCTTTTACGTTGTCTTTTTATGTTGGTTGTAAGAAGAAGCAAAGTAAAATAGAAGCAGTGACATTTTTGTAAGTAAGTTGAAGTTTTATACACTTTTTATGTCAGTTTCTTTTTATAATCAACACAGAAAGTGACTTTCAATGTCACCTTTCGATTTATTTTTTATCCTTTTTAAAACAAGTATTTTAATGGGTATGAATTTAAAATAAGGCTAAAATATATTTTTGGTCCTTTAAGTATATATGAGGTTTCATCTTATGTTTATAAAGTGTATTTTTAGTCCTTAAAATTTAACACCATTAACCTTGCTAATAAAAAATGCAAGCGAAGTTAAGAAGTGACTGTGCAATTCTGACGAAGCAAGCTTAATAAGTTATATTATTTTAATCCTACACATCAACTCAAACTTTTTAAAAAAAATTCAGATTTTAACAACAACAATAATAATAGAAAAAAACTCAGTTTTTAATCCATGTTTTCATCAACACCGTGCTCTTCCTTGTCTATCGAAACCGTCTTCCGCCTCCGATGCCCTTCTTCCTCCATGAATCTCCGCCGCTCAATACCTATGCCATCAATTACTTAGGAAATTGGCTGTCGACCTCGCCTTTGGAGGTAACTTCCTTAGCCCAACGGTTTCCTTCTCTTCCTCTCCTCTATTCCTCCTCTAACCATGAGTTTCCTTTCATTCAACTAAATTTCATGCCTCTCCTTACTAAATAACCCCGAGGATATTGTTACTGATTCTAGGGGGATTTTTTTTAATTGTTGGTATTCTTGGATTATTTTGGGGGATTGAAGTAGACGAGATTGAGACTGTGGCTGTGGCCAGTAACAGTGCATAATGGACTTAGACTTTGTATACACATGAAAAATGGCATCGCATTGTAAGCTTTTGATTGGAGTCATTGAAGACGTTGAAGCAAGCAAATCTATGAATGTTAAGGAAGCTTATTTTTTGTTCAGACAACTAGAGAGAATTAATAATGGGTCACAATACCAACGTTAAGGAAGTTTTGATTGGAGTCGATAGTTTATATATAAAGAAGGAGATTAGATCATGAGACGAAATGGTTTCTCAATATTTAGAATCAACAAGATTGTAATTTTAGGGATTGAATTTTGAATTATTTCTCAATAATTCATGCATTAAAATCAACAGCCAGTGCGTTGGGAGATTCATGGAGGAAGAAGGGCATTGGTAATAGGAGAAGGGTTTTGATGGGGAAGGGAGAACAGATGAAACAAATATTGGATCAGATTAAAACTGGGGTTTTTTTAAATTATCATTATTATTATTTTGATTAAAATCTGAGTTTATTGCTAGCAAGTGAGAAATGAGAATTAAAATAATGTGAGTTATTAAGTTTGTTTCGTCAGCATTACACAATCATTGCTTAACTTTGCTTAGTTAACATATTCTGTTAGTAATAAGAATGATGTTAAATTTTAAGGACTACAATTACACTTTATAAACTTAAGGAACTTAAGGGACTAAAATGAGACCTCATATATATATTTAAAGGACTAAAAGTATACTTCAGCCTTAAAATAAAGATAATTTGGTTGACTATGATTTTTTTCTTTTTTTTTTTTGTTGCCAAATAACTATATTTTTTAAAAAGTAATTTTCTAATAAAAATATTAAATCTGTACAGTCAGATCAGATGTCGACGGTTCTTATCAGCACCACCCAAACCGGATCTGGAGTAATTTAAGTAGTACGTACGATACTGTAAACATAACATATATATAGAACAGAAAGAGGGAGAGAAGGAAGACATGCACTCAGCATTTTCCTTTGGAGGCTTCGTGTATAGAGATAGAAAAAGGAAAACACATGAAATAGCATTATTATTTTATTTCTTCTGTAAGTGCAGGAGTTACTCCTCCGGTCATAAATATAAGACTCTTATTCTAGTGTGTATAAGGGTCTTACATTTAGGACCAGAGGAGTAACTAAACTACTTGCAACACGCAGTAATAGTAAGGACGCTCTTCACTGATCAGCAAAAGATCCAGCCTTGCGAAACACAACAGCGAAAGGGTTATCATCATCGATAACAAAAATCCTGTTTCCCTCATCGTCCTTGGAAATCCCAAGAGCTCCGCAAGAATGGTCACCAAAGGAACAGAACACTATCTTATAGGTCATACCATGATATGTGTGAATTTGAAACACACGTTTAGGGTGTCTCGGTACCCATAAAGTTTCACTTGCTGCTTTGCCACATCTTTTCCGATGACCACCCTCCATTTGGCTGGTTTGGTCGTGCACTTTGGTGGTGCAACGACGGTGAACTCTGCATTTAAGTCTGTTGGGAGAAAATAGAAAAAGCATGGAGAAGAAAGTGCGGTGAGCAAACCGTTGGCGCGTTCGGAAGTTTGAACGACGCTAAGAGGGCAAGTTTCGTTGCCGGTAGCGGCAAGGCCGACGCCACTGCCAACCGCTGGGAGGATGTAGTATGGGCCACCATTTATGATGAAGTCGCCATCAGTGTCAACCACAACACCAGCTTTGACGGGTGTAATGAAGGCAAAGACAAGGCAGAGGGCGAGCAACGTAGTCTTCATCGCTTGAGATAATTTGGCTGTGAGCAGAGAAGGTTTTTGTCTGTGTTTGTATTTATAGACCTCCATACTTGAGAGCGGGTATGATTGTTGGTTACTTATATCTCATAATATTTAGAATTCCCTTTCCATATATTTTACCGGAATCGGGAAAACCTACTCAAATCTCATCTATTATTACCTCCGTTTTTAAATATAAAAGTGGATTGATTAATTTGAAAAGATTAAGAAAACTAAATAAATTACTTAATTATAACATGATATATGAGTTTTCAACATTCCATTTTATGCACCACCATATAATTCAATCCCTAATTATCATTTCCTTAATCATGATTTAGCCTTAAACCAAACTTTCTATGTTTCTTGAAAATTTTGACCGCATCACCGGTCTCCCCTAACCCTTGAACCTCAACTTTCTCCCATGTTAATCATATCATCAAGAGAGATTTAGAGACTATAAAGGCTTCAGAAATAAATCCTTCAGCATCGACAACTACATTTTTTCCCCGAGAAATTGAGCTTGAGTTTAAAGTGTTAAGTCACATGATGCTTAAAAATTTTGATTGTAAATAATGATAATTACGATTTACGAGCTCAACAGTCATCACTATCTTTTACTGGTTATGGAGAGGGTCAATATTCGGCAAATAAAATTATTGTCAAGCAAGTTTCTAAGGACCGCAACATAATTAGCTTATTTCCTGAGACTTGTATATCAATATCTTATTTTAGTGGTCCTCACATTCTTTTTTAAGGAAAAGTACTGATCGTATAGTTTAATGTCACGTGGATATATATTGAAGAAATAGTAGTAATAATAATGATAATAATCATCATCATAATAACAATAATACACAATATTAATGCATTGTCCCCTTGCCAATGAAAAAGACAAAAGGAATCTATATAAATATCAACCAATAAGTCTAAAATTTGTCACTTGCATATTAAAAATGAGAAAGAGGCTCATTACTTTAATTTCAAAAAATTGTGCCAGAGAAAAATTAAGCATTCATATAATATGTAAGTATTTTTACAAATGACATATTTTGAGTGTTGCAAATTAAATAAATGATATATGATATCTTGATTGTTGTTGAGAAATTCTAAACAATATATTCAATTTTACACTTTATTTTCAAAAATTTTATTTTAAAAGATCACTTACATTTTATATTCTTTTCAATTATATGAGTTTGCTTATGAAAAGAAATTAAACATGTGCAAATGATAATTATAATTTTAAGAAAATTTTATGGATGTTGGATTAGTTCAAATATCATTTAAACTTTAAAGTTTTGAACATTTTGAAATAACATAATAGAAAATTAGATATTTATATTCCTCTATTCTAACGTTAAGAGGCACGTTAATCCTTTATTTTTCTTTTTGAAATGATGAATCATTGGTCTTATATATTGAAATTAAATTATTCTTACCATGACATTTGAAGAAAAAATAAACATTATATATTTATATCACATTTGAATTGAGAGAATAGAAAGTTATTTAATTTTATGAAAAAATTTATTATAAATAGTTGATATTGATCTTGATTGGTTAGACAAAATCACTTTTTTATAGCATGTGTAAACTCAGTGTATATTGCAAGTTAAATCTATGATATTTAAAACTATTTATTATTATGTATTACAATGTTATTAAGATGAATTTGTCTCCTCATTCTTCTCAAATCACATAGTTCCTAAAGAACTATGTGTAAAAATATTAATATAGTCCCTGAAGAACTAATTCAAATTTCTTTTGGGCGGACAAATAATTGATAGTGAAAAATAGGACCAATTGATTTACATCAGAACCTCGATTCTCCAAAGGGTCTAAAAAGTAATAGCCAAATTGAATTAATACAAGTGTGAGTTGATGTTAGATAGAATTTTACTTATATAAGAAACTTGTTATAGTAAACCAGAAGTTTATTTGCCCAATTAGATTCATAGTTGATGTGCTTTGTTTGATCATCATAAATCATATATATGATGTAACAAATCGTTGTGATTATTACTGACATCTATTGAAGAACCAGAAGATTCTTCATGAATAGACAACATATTATATGATTCAAGAGTTCATATAGTTCTTGTTCTTAGAAAAAAATTGATTATGTTGATATCACTAGTTATAATGTGGAATGGATCTCTACATTTCTAGAAATATATCAAATTCGATATATAGGCCCATACAGATAGCATGTAAACCATAAAAGTATTCAATAAATTTGATAAATGCATCTATAAGATAGTTACATGTGTTATTATTAGGTTACAACCTGAAGTTTGCAAGACTAATGGAGTAAATTATTATATAATGTTGAGTGCACATTTCCAAAAAAGTACGATCCAGAAAATTTCTATTGTAAACATTAGTGAGTTTATAACTTAACTTTTGAATGATTATCATATATTTATTAGAAAATTGTTGAAAAGGCTACTTAATAGAATGATCAAGCAGAATAATTCTAGAAGTAGCTAGATCAATACTTTTGAGAATAAGATTTTCATTTCAGTGTTGGCATATTTGGTTTGATATTTTATAGCACTTATATATATATCAAGCCAACAAATTCTCCCAATAAAATTGGTTTTTGATCAGGAGCCAAATATTTCCATTTTAGAAGTTTAGATGTGCAATATTTATTACTATCAGCCCACCACAATGCACATAGATGGGTATTTAAAGAAAGTTGGGATATATGTTGAGTAAGAATCTCCTTCTTGTCTCTAAATGAAATGAAAGAATGTTTCTAAATGAAACAAATTGATTTAAGAGACTTATACTGCATGGTTAATTAATTGTCATTCAACAAAATTTTTCCAACATGAGGGGAAGAAATTGAGTAGCTGAAAAGGATAACATATAGAATACATTATTATTATCAAGTATAGATCCTAAAATATATATAGTAGTATGAACCAAAAGTTCATCAAAGAATGCATTCATAAGATATTATAAAATATCTGCCAGATGCTATTAGTGACTAAATAAGTATTACTAAATCTCATATTCCAGCTAAAAATGCTCCAATTAGTATAAATAAAAGTGAGACATACCTAAAGCATGAAAGATTAATCAGTTCCAATGTAATTATATCATATAAAAAGGAGCATGAAATTTAAAAGATATATTAAGGAAGCATGCACTTTAGAACAATGCTAAGACATAACTAATTGGGAAAAAAAACCCTAGAAAATGTTCAGGTATCTAAAGAGTAATAAAAAGATCTCAATAAGTTATATCACAAGAGAAAAATAGAACCCAAAAGATAAATTTTTTGACAATGTTTTTAATAATAAGATTACATGATTAAAATGAGGATCCTATATGTAGATATGTTATACAAAGCAGACAAAAATTTGGTCAAAGAAAAAAGTAAAAGAAAAAGACGCAATAGAAATATTATTTCAATGTGTGAAAATTGAGGACTTGCAGTCCAAATACATGAAATACAAAGTTATTATGTGATATGTGAATATTTATGTGAAAAATAAAGATTTTCACAAAGGTCTAATGAAGATTATGATAAGGTATATTAGTTTTTGGTGGATAAATAAAGCATACATTACTAGTCTGGCAGTATATAAAAAGAAAATATGCGTCTATAAGATATTGTCATAGTCTATGTATATGACTAACTAAATAGTGAAATTTATATTAGAACATATGAAGGATCCAAAAATGCCAGAAGCATGTCCATGAATGCAATATATGAAATGTTGCGTGGATTAAAATAATGAGTATATATATTTGATTCAGGAAAAATGTATTGAAAAATAAATAATTTTGCATTTGACTTGACTTATAGATCAAGTTATTGAATATTCCAATGATTGCCAAATGATGAATTTTTGTTAAGATAATTTTGTCTGCAAAAATATATTAAATTTAATGGACTAAAGTTCTATCTATTCACTCTATAATAATATATATTTTGTCTGCAAAAATATTTTTTTTTGTTATGGATTTTTTTAATTATTAAGTTCTTGTAGGTACACAAGTGAATAATAAAATTTATATTTGACGTTGTAGTACTTTGAAACTATTATATGAGATTATTATGTTCAAACCAATTGAACATGTAGAAGCAAGAAATATCCTAATGATTTTCATAATAACTTTTCTGTTGTTATTTTCACAATGTATAAGACAGGTGAAATGCATATTGATAACCCAATATATCCAGAAGATATGTTGGCGGAATATATTTAACATTTTTATATGATGGCAATGCATCATGTTTGGGTTGATTAAAAGAAATATATAATTTGAAAAGGATTAGAAATAATCCACTTGAGAAAAAATTGATATTGTTATCAGGGAGAGTAAAAGTGACATTATTATTAGGGTAGTAAAGACCATACTGTACCATTTTCCTTAACCAAGGTTTTGTCCCACGGGATTTTTCTGTTAAGGTTTTTAACAAGGCAAATTTAATTTATATTGTGTACTCTTTTTTCTTCACTAGGTTTTTTTCCTACTAAGTTTTTCCTAGTAAGGTTTTAATAAGGCACAATATTTTTTTATGAACATCCAAGGGGGAGTGTTATAAATATCATGCTATGTGGATGTTCATAACTCCTTAGCTCCTTGAGATTCCTTCTCATGGTTAATGGCATTATACCTTATAACTAGCAAATTGAAGGGTTTCTAGTATTTATTTCCTATAACCTCCAATTGTACAATTATGTTGCTTAATTCCCTTCTTTATGTACTTGTAACTCTTTAGGTTTGTCTTCAATATTGGGGTCCTATAAATAGGAGATGATGTACACACATTTATAACAATAAAGTGAATGAGAACTCCTTAATTTCTCCTCCAATTTCCTCTTATTTTCTCCATCTCCCTCATCTCTTGGTACTTTTCTTATTTTTCATAACAATGGTATTATAGTTTTGTCCTACACTTAATAAGTGAGAGTTGATAAGGCTAAGTTTAAAATTTTGAGATTCTCTCACTCATCATGTTTATAAGCACTCCGCTCAACTTGTTTACTATCTTGTTTACTCTCTCAAGTCCTTATCCTTAATATAGAGGAGCTAGATAACTAATTTATAAACCCTAAGGTAATTAGTCAAGTTGTTTATTTGTAAAAGATGTGTGTTAATTTTCATGAAATACTCTCTTTAATCATTTGCATTTGAGCTCCTCTTTATAGAAACTGTATTATGTGCAATCAATTTAGATAGTTTGGAGAAAATATAACAAATTAAAAAAAAATAAAGCAAATTAAAATCTTATGTTTAATTATGACCAAATTAAACCACCTAACTAACTTCTGTATTTGAGGAGTATATTTATGTTACCTTATAAATAATTTAGAGCAAAAAATTTTACATCCAAAAAAACTGAAATTGTAAAGGGCCCCAAAGTTGAAGCCATCACTTATTCAGGCCCAAAAAAAAAAAGCCATCCCTGATTGCGATTGTCTGGAAGCTTCAAGATCAATTTAACGGTCTCAATGATTGGAGCAAGAAACCAAAAAAAAAGAAGGCAAAATTATACGACTGAAAAACTGTAGCTTCTTCATTATTATTGTGGAAAACTAAGACAGAAGCTGGCAAACAAATTAAATAAAATTGCTTTGGATCTTGCATCGTATAGTTATTAGGACCATTTCGGGGTAGATGTAGGGAAGGATGATAAAGATAATCAGAGGTTCATTACTACGCGACATGTTTGTTTTGTTAGCCTTCTTGAGCAAAATATAGAAGTTACTACATAATTAATAAGTAAAAATTAATAAAATTAGTTATGTTAATTATTCTTGTCATTATTTACGTTGAAATTATCCCTTAATTAAGATCTTATAACGAACACTTACATTTAGAATTGGAAGCAGTATATTTTTGGTGATATGTGGGAAGAGGAGAGCTGTGAAAGATGATTGCAATAGCACAAGCAATTCATGAATGGACTGTTTTGTCCTCAGCCTATAATGTGAAATGACACCAGTAATCCTCCTACGTATATTTCATCAAATTCAGAAACCCTACCATGCGAGCTAGAGGAGTGATAGTAATTTGAGTTGATTATGCTATGATTAAAGGGATATGTTCTTTAATTTGAGCTAAACTCATCGTTTGCAATCTCTATGTATTCCTCAACGCTTCACAAGTCCAGCGTATTAGTTTTGCGGGGTAAATTTGCACATTTACGCTATAATAAAATAAAAGGTATTGAGTTTTAAGATTTTGAGGTAAGATTTGATGTCTTCATTCTCTCCTTGTTCTTTAACACTTCCCTCCACGAGGATCACTACAGAGGATTTGAATGAATTATCTTTGTTTTGGTTATGTGAACATTTCGTCAGTGGAATTTATTGTAAATTCTATAAGAATAATAATGAACTTTAAGAATTTTCTAATTATGCATTATTCTCTGTCTTTTCATGAGAATTTAAAATTTTCAAAGTTTTACGTATTCTTGTAAACTAGTTCACAAAAATAAAAATATTGAAAAAAGTCATTGTCACTGTTTTTTTCCCTGAGAAATATAATTAGGAAATTATAATTTATATAAAGGAAAAATATTTTAGGAAAACCAAGAGGGTATAAGTTTTTTTTTTTTAGTTAACAGAGGAATAACGGTTGAATTGATGTGAATAGAATATTAAAAATAGAAGAGATATTTATAAAAAGAAATAAATTTCAATTTTGAGAGAGGTTTGTGTATAAAACAATAGGGAGAATTATAATTAGGTCCTAAGGAAGGAATTTAATTACTTAAAGTCCATTGACAATGAAGCGCAGGTAATGACAAATGCTAGAGTAGGAAATGACATCAGGTTTAGACTGGTCATTTGTTATTGGGACTTTTTAGTAATTAAATTTCTTTATTAGTACTTGTTGGTAATTCTCCCTGAAAAATAACTTTTAATTTTCTGTGGGTCAGGAAATTTAAGTTTATTTGGTCATCCCTGTATTGGGTCATCAACTCCTTCTTCTTCTCTTTGGGTAAATCGATCGTTTCAAGTCTTGGCCTCCATCAAATAATTTGCTCAACTTAACAACTGCAGAGACAGTACAAATGAGATTATCTCGAAGGACATCATCTTTCTTTGTCAACTGTTTTCTCAATTTAGATGCAGGAGTAGTTCATGCGTTGCATCCTATATTATCAAAATTTTCTCATTTTAATTTATTCGACTTCAGTTCTGTACTTGTAAGGATACTGTCTTTTGTTTTTAGTGTTATTTGTATTTAAAAGATAAAAGCTGGAAAAAAGAAATATTTCCCAATAAAAATTCAGGGATTTTACTAGCAAATGTTTACGGAAAAAAATTATTGTTTCCTTCGTATGAATACACACCAATTAATACAGTACGATACTCCCATCCCCAACAAGCTAGGTCTGGATCCCTCACGTCTAAATGCAAACATGTTAAAGAGATCAAATGTCTTACGACAGAAAATCACACAAAAACTAAAAATAAGCACATAAATAATCCTCATAAATGATTTTACTACCCTCTATGCTTATTTCTCATTAACTATGTCCAGTTAATTAATAATGAGCACGAAGAAATTTAAGATGATATACATCCAAATGTACAGAAATAATAAGCTCTGTAACTGTCCTTCTTGAGACATGTTTTTAGAATAATCCACTACTTTCTTCGACCGATCTTAGAGTATATGTGGCCTTTATTCCAGTTATATCTCTTAACAACTTTGATGATGTGAATAAAATTAGTTAAAAGTTGTTAAATATAGCAAATTTTAACAATTCCAAAACAACCAGTGGTATAGTTAATTGGACAGACAAAGATGAGGAGGATGGAAGGAATATAAAATAGTCAGAAAGACAAAGGGTATTCTGAAATTGCGTCATAGATGCTTCACTGAATTTCATAAAGAATTTTGTATTAAGGACTAATCGATATGGAGGGGTATATATATTATACTTGAAATTTTGGCGTCAATAGCAAGAAAAGGCTAGGAGTAGTTTAAGTTGTACAAATTTAAACGTAATATATATATGTGTGTGTGTGTGGTAGATATAGTAGAGAAAGGGCCAGAAAAGAGAAAAGGAAGCCACTTGGAACATAATTTTATTTATTTTAGGCTTCAGATACAGAGGTAGGAAAGGAAAGCATATGAAGCATTATTTTATTTATTATTAAGTGCAAGGAGTTATGTAAACTACTTGCAACATGCAGTGGCTTCATCAGCATTTCCGCAGCACAGTAGACCCTTCATGCACAAGATGATTCAGCCTTACGAAACACGACAATGAAAGGATTCTCATCGTTAATAGCCAAAATTCTGTGTCCTTTATTGTCCTTGGGAATCCCAAGAGCACTGCAAGACTCTTCACCACTCTCACAGAACACAATCTTATAGGTCAAACCATGATGTGTCTGAATTCTAAACGAACCACGTACGGTGTCTGGCTGTCCCGCATATTTCACTTGCCTATTCTCTTCTTCTCGGCCGACGATCGTCCATTTTGCCGGTTGGGCTGGGCACTTTGGTGGTGCAACGACGGTGAGGTCCAAATCAAAGTTTGTGGAGAGATAAAGGATTAAAAATAATAACATTTGCAAACTTTTAATTATGTTCGTACAATGATGTCAAAATTTTGTGGATGTGAGGTCATTTGTGGACCCCATATTTATTTGAGGTTTAACTCAAGAATCCTTGGCAGAATTTCGTTAACTTGCTCAAAGAGAAGAATCATTAGAGTGTTTAACTATTTTCTCTGAACCTACCCTTGTCGGCCCAGCTTTGCGGTTGCGGTGAATGAAAAGATATATCACCCAACTCCAATGACCTAGTGTGAAAATTTTGTTTTAACATACATGAAATGCGCTTATAAACACTTATTTAAGCCAACCCAAATAAGATAATGGGAGAGAGTTAAACTCATAAAGCTTCCCCATTTTGGCATGTTAATTATCCAAAACTCATATTCATAATCATTAATTAAACTAACACAGCCCTCTCACAGATTTAAGTAAATTAAAAAACTAGTTTCTAAAATAACACATACGTCACAATTTTGAGTTGTATATTTGATGTAGCTAAAATAAACATATATAATCCCTTGGTTCGAAAATATAAGCACCAAATCTTTAAAGATCTTTTTTTTTTTTTACAAGTTTTAATTAAAATTTGTCCTATTATTTAATGCATTTTTTTCATTATTATTATCAATTAATTATGTATTTCTCTCTTTTTTTTTTATTCGTTCTCAGTAATATCTTTGCTCACTCATTCTTTATCATACATACTCACTCACTCCATAAATAAGGATGTTTTAGGAAAATAAGTTATATTTTACATGTCTTTTATTTTTAACTAATTTTAACCAATTTTTTGAATTGAATGATTTAATTATTTGATAATTATATTTTAAATAGGAGAAAATATTATTAAGGCTCCATCTTAGTTCATAATTTATAAAAATGGGACTCAACTGTAAATGTGATGTGGTGGCATGAAAACCAGAGGGTGCATGAAATGTTATATTTGATGCTCATAGGGATGCTACTCAATTATGGGAGTTAAATTTCATCTGAATTTTGTCGTTTATGCATGATTATCTTTATCTTTCAACGAAACCTTGTCGCCACGTCAATCAAAAAGATGTACTCAATCTTGTTTTAGGATGTTAAAGGTAACTAATTAATAGAAATTAAAAAAATTGATTAAATTAATAATTTAAAAAATATATGTTAATTTTCTTGAAGAATCCCTCTAATAATTTACAATGAAAAGTTCCTCATTAAAGAAAATTTATTTAATACGTGAAATTAATTAATAGGGATAATTTGAAAAGAAATTATAAATGGGAGAGACAAAGTAAGCTTTTTTTTTGGGCCAAAAGAGACAAAGTAAGTTGAAATATTACATTTAGAACCAAAATAAAATTTTTAATTAACTTTTATATTTAAGATTGGAGGGAGCCTAAAAAATCATGGCATTATTGTTTTGTCCTATACTTAATAAATGAGGGTTGATAAGGCTAAGTTTAAAATTTTGATAAGGCTAAGTTTAACAAATTCCCTGTCCTTCATGTTGGCCTGTTCAGCAGTGGGTGTCTAAGGGTATTAATCTAAAATTTGTCACTTGCAGATTAAAAATAAGAAAGAGGTTCATTACTTTAATTTCAAAAAAAAAATTGTGTCAAAATTGACAGTGACCACTTAAGCGAGAAATCTTGTGTTGGCATTCGTGTTGACGTAAAAAACAATTTTAGGAGAGTTACTTCCAATTCCACCCACCCAACAATACTTAATAAATTAAGAAACCAAAAATGTAAAAAGAACCATAATACAAGCAAAGCACTCAATAAATCAATAAAGCAAAATGTCCTAAACAACAAAAAATTTACAAGCAGAAGGGGGGGGGAGAGAGAGCCAGTTTGAAGCATCATTTTATTTAATCGTCATAACTTATCACAAGGAAACATCATTCAGATGATCTTATTGATAGACGATTTGATACTTCTAAAGACTTATCAAGCTTCAAGTGATGTGGCTTTCACGAACACAACCGCGAAAGGGTTGCCATTAGAGATAACCAAACGCCTATTTCCATCATCATCCGTTGAAATCCCAACATCTTCACAAGAATCAGCATCAGTGGGACAGAACACAATCTTATACGCCAAGCGACTGTAATTCTGAATCCTGAACCAACCCTTCAAAGTGTTACCGTACCCAGTGATTTTCACCGACTTTGCGCCTTCCTTGCCCTCAACAACGGTCCACTTGGACGGTGTAGAAGCACATGCTGGTACAGCAATGAAGGAGATATCCACATTCATGTCTGTTTTGATGATTGCAATTCTTAATGGCGACGAAATTCTCAGGGGCAAGCCGTTTTGGACTTCAGATGGTAATTGCACGACGGTAAGAGGGCAAGTTTCCTTGTCCGTGCTGGCTAGGGCTAAGCCTCCGCCTTTTGCAAAAATATCCGGGAGGATGTAGTAGGCGGCTCCGTTGTTATCAACCGCGTCGCCATTTGTGTCCAGAACAACACCGGCTGTGGCCGAAGAGGCGAAGGCAAGGAGAAGGAAGAGGGCAAACATGGTGGTCTTCATTGCTCTTGGTGTGTAAAAATGAGAGGATGAAGGGTTCTATTTATAGAACTTGCACGGTATGAGAAGGAGGGGCAGTTTAGATATTACCCGACGCAAGTGACACCAAAAAATTTTTTGGGGGGGGGGGAGATGATTACATCTTTGAATTCAATTATGATGGTGACTTTTCGTTGTCACTAATTAAGTGTAAGAATTTTAGTGACGACTTTAAAAAGTCCCCCGTAATATATAGTTCTTTAACGGCGATGTCTTTTAAATGTCACTGGAAAAAAAAAAAAAGCAAAAGAACTTTCAAAAGTGAAAACAAATACTGCAGTTTAAAATGTGACTTTCAGTTTCAGGGATAACTTTAATTTCAAGATTGCTCTTGAACATTCTAGCTGTTTTTTTTTTTTTAAAGGATGACACCCTCTTTATTTAGTAGATTCATCTATGAAATTGGTGGTGACTGAAACTAGAGAACGAAGCGTTCTGTTTATGGGCATGTGCGCATTTTAATTCTTATCTTTAAGGGAAACCTTATCGTCACAGGCCATAACTGTGTGGTACGAAAAGTTTAGATATTACACGATACAAGTTGACACAAAAAAAACAAAAGAAAGATTACCGCATCTTGAAATTCAATTCAATTATGACTGACTTTTTTGTAGTTGCTAATAATGTAATATTTTTTTCGTGAAGGGATTAAAATGTCACCAAATTAGTAGTTCTATTTTAGGTTAACCCCGCATGGTATTCCTCAAACTCACCCGAGTTTACTTAATTTTAAGTAACAAGCAATTTTCACACTAAACATGTTTTTAATAGGTTTTTTAAATTTCAATTCTCATTTCTTATTTTTAATACTTTATAATAAACGGAACCAAATCTCACTGTTAAAAAAAATAAAAAGAACTCTCAGTAGTAAAATTAATCAAATACCGCGGTCGACAACTTTTAAAATTAATCTTTATTCAGAAGATTTATCTGCGAAACTGATGGGGTGTGTAACTAGAGGACAACATGTTCTATTTATGGGCACGTGTATTTTAACTTTTGTCTTCAAGCAAACCTTGTCGCCACAGGCCACTGATGTGTGGTGACGACGGAGACACGTCAATTAAAAAAGACAAAAATATCAGGGATCAAGCTATTGATGTTTTGCCCTATGTATATCCTTAATAATTGACACTTAATAATGTTTCGAGAATATCCTCTCACTCATCGTTTATCTTCTCTCAGCAATCGTCTGAAATTTAACCTCGAAAGTTGTTTATAATATCTGTTTCATTAGTTGCAAAAAGTATACATATGTGCGTATAATTAAACCTGTCCTTTGTTCAGGTCATTAAAAAAAAAAAAAAAGAAACCTATCTTTTGAGCAATATCTAGTGAGCTTAGAAAATCTAGACTTAAATTTCTAGTTCACGTTTAAAGTTTTGCACATGAATTAGAAAACATTAATTAATATAACGTATTATTTCATATAGTATGAATATACTAATTCAATCTTCGCTTAAGAGAGACTGGATGGATATTTTTTGGCCACTCAGAGATTGGATGTATATAATTGTACGTGTGGTTCAATTATGATTCGTACATGTATAGTCTGTCCTTTAATTCCATCTTTTGTAACTTGCATGCTACCTTTCCCTTTTAATATAAGATTTAGTTTGTAATTCTGATTGAATTATAAATCTTATATTAAGAACAAGAAAAAAGTATTATATCCTAAGGAAATATTCTTTTTGGTACCTAACATAAGTTTCAAATAACTAATTCAAGTATAACAAATAATTAGTTAAAATTAGTTAAAAATAATAAATATGATAAAAATATACTTTTGTTTTTAAATATGCCCTTATAATAAATTAAAAAAAGGATGAAAGAGAATGTATGAAAAAATATGATGAAAGATAGTATAAAAAAGGAAAGAGAATAAATAATTAAGGGCAAATTAAAAAAAATTACTCCCCTATTACTATTTATTAAACATTTCCAGCATATTTCACACAAGCCAAGAAAAATTTTAAACTGCATTAACTCTCTATTAAAATATAACAACTTTTTAATTTTATCCTTTTTTTTTTTTTTAAATACAAAGGAAAGAAACTCAGCGCCAAGTTTACGCTAGAGTTCCAAAAAAAGGAGATATAGCGTCTGCTCGTAGGATATGCGACCCAGAAGGCAATCCGAACGCCCTCTTTGCCAGCTGGTCTGCATGAAAGTTGAGTTCCTTGATAGTGCATCTCCAGCGTCCAGTCTCTATCGACCAGTCGTCTTACTTCACATATTAGGTCCTAGTGAATATGGATATCACTACCCCTTGCCTTTATCAGCTCCAACGCTTCAAGAGAGTCGCTCCTCAGGCGCACTTTGCGATAACCACCATCCCATGCGCATCGAAACCCCATGATACACGCCCAGAGTTCAGAACCCAAGGGGTCACTGTTTAGTACATTCAACATGAAAGCTTCAACCATATTCCTATCACCTGCTTTAATGAGGCCCCCACTGCCTACTTTGTTGTTGGTTATCGAATAAGCTCCATCCACAAATATCTCAACCCACCCTTCAGGAAGGGCATAAATGGGTTCCTTTGGCCGTTGGGTTTGTCCTCCCATGGAGATACCATTTAGGTTTGTCGCAGCTGAGTTAAAACTCCCAATAATTGCTTTTATTTTATAAACAATAGTGGTCACTTCCGCTTCAGTATTCTCAAAAACTTTCTCATTTCTCCGTTTCCATAACAGCCAGTAGATAGTAACAAAAAAACTCCCGCCAATGGTCTTGCTTTGCACCAATGTCATCACGGAGGTTTAAAGTGCACCAATCCCAGAGGTTGGTATTAAAAAATCCAGTCGCAAATTTAATAAGATTCTGCCATAAGTGTCGGATGTCAAGACAATCACGCAAAATGTGGAGGCTCTCTTATGTGTGATGGCCACACCAGCAGCACTCACTTGTTTGGCATACACCCCTTCATTTTTGTTCCTCGTTTGTTAAAGGCCTGTCATGCATGGTTAACCAGCAGAAAGTCTTACAACGCTGAGCGAGCTTGAGTATTCCATATGGTATTCGTGTTCAAGGTTCCACCTTGTAGTGGGCAGTATGCTAATCTTGTCGAGAAGGTTCCTGTATTTTCAAGCTTTCACGAACTGTCTCTTCTCCATTGCTTCTCATAACACGCTCTGTCCCCTGGACCACATAATCCCAGTTCTCCTTTATCCCCTTCCAGAAATTTGACCCGGGTCGTGATCTGTCAATCTTAGGCAGCAAGTCCTCCCCACATTTATATTTACTGCGGATAACTTTAGCCCATAAAGCATTTCGATCCTGGATCAGCCCCCAGCCCGCTTTTGTCATGAAAGCTTTATTTTCGAGCCTTCTGTGTCATAATTCGGGGCCCCCATGCCGTTTTTCCTTACAAAACTTCAGACCAAGAGACGAGATGGACCCGTTTCCTCTCTCTTGTTGTGCCCTATAGGAAGCCCCTGGCTCTTTTATCTAAGTCCTCACAAGTAGCCGCAGGCAAGATGCTTGTTTGCATTGGGTACAAGGGCATGGCTTGTATCCCTGAGTTAGCTAGCGTCTGCCTTCCAGCAAACGAGAGCGTATTTATCTTCCAGCTGCTGAGCCTCTGCTTCCCTTTATCAACTACATAGCTGTAGGTGTCTTTTTTTAACTTGCTCATGATGTAACGGGACTCCCAAGTATTTGTCCAGCTCAGCTGTTGGAGTAGGCCTAGCTCTTCACTAAGTTGGCTTCTTGGGTTATGGTTCATATTTGGGGAGAAGAAGACACGCGTTTTACTCTGGCTCACCTTCGGCCTTGAGAGCTTATAAAACTTCTCCAGAAAATAATTAATGATTTCAACCTGTCCGAGAGAAGTTTCTGCAAAGAGGATCAGATCGTCGGCAAAGAATAGATGAGATATAGGGGGTCCACTCTTATGCAGTTTAATCGGTCTAGACCTCTTTCACTGTACTTCTTCCTGTATCAAATGAGCAAGTTTTTCCATACAAATAATGAAGAGATAAGGTAAGATAGGGTCACCTTGTCGTAAACCATAAGAGGGTGATATCTCCTGAGTTATGCTTCCTTCCCACAGTATTCGCATTGTTGGGGACATAATACATTGCTGAATCATATTCTTAATATAATGGGCCGGGTACATTCAGCTCTTCCGGGCAATTCATGACAAAGCTCCATCAACAATGATCATAGGTTTTTTTAAGGTCAATTTTGATGGCCATAAAACCCTTCTTTCACCTCATACTCCTCATCAAGTGAATAACCTCTTGAGCAATTATGATATTATCAGACCCATGTCTATGAGGTACAAATCTGCATTGATTAGGAGAAATAACAGATGGCAAGATGGTCTTGATTTTATTAGCAATGATTTTGGTGATTGCCGTGTAAATAACATTACAAAGACTAATAGGGCGGAAGTCTCATATGGTGTCTGGTTGCTCTTTCTTCAGAATCAACACAATTAAAGGTTTATTTATTTCTCCAACTAATGAGGGGTTTCGAAATGCTCCCTGGATAAGATTAACAACTAAGGCCTCGACCTGCTCCCATTAGTGTTGATAGAAAAGGGCATTTAAGCCATTAGGACCCGGAGCCTTAAGAGCCCCCACAGAAAAGATAGCTTGTTTTATTTCGTCAGTAGAGGCTTCATGGCCCATCATTCGAACCATCTCATCTAGAATAGGAGGATAAGAAAGATTACCAGCTGATTCAGAGGTGTCACATTCATCCTCGGTAAAAAGGTTCTGGTAGAAATTCAAAGCAACATCCTTTATAGCGGCTTCTTCATAAATCCACACTCCACAATCATCTTGCAAGGTGGCAATTTTATTGCGTTTCCATCGACTATTGGCCCGAGTATGGGAATATTTGGAGTTCTTGTCACCTAATGACTACGAATTTTTATGCCCATAGCAGGTCCTCTTGGAGGATCACTTCTTCCAAGTCCCTCCAAACTTTTTGAATAAGGAGCTCCAAGGAATATTTATTAAAACATGTATTTGTTCTGTTTGTGAGTCCCTCAAATCTGTTCATCAAATGTCTTTTCTTTCGACCCGAGTGCCCAAATACATTGTGGCTCCATTTTATGATTTGGGACTGAAAATTTTTCATATTATTCTGCCATTCCCAGTCCGTATGCCAATTACGTCTCACGAAGTCCCCAAAATTCTGGTGCAGCACCCACGATGCCACAAATCTAAAAGGTATTTCTCTCCGTCCTTGTTGCGTCTCCTCCTTCGTTAAGCTTAGAAGAAGGGGCCTATGATCTGACTTAAAGAAAGGTTAATGTAGAATAGAAGCTTCTAGATAAACACTAAGAAACTTAGAATTCCCCAGAACTAGTACTTTGTCTATCCTACTCTCGCTTCCAAGTATAAAAGCGACCATTACAGCCCAGGTCATTGAGTTTTATTTCCTCTACCCACAAACTAAAGTCTCTATCTGTGTTACTTCCTGAATTAGAAGTAGAACGCTGTTCATGTGTTCTTATAGTCCCATTAAAGTCCCCTCTCATGCACCATGCTCCATGGACTACGTTGAACGAGCTTCAGGTCTCTCCATGCATTACGTTGTTTAACAGGATTTGGGCTGGCATAGATTGCCGTGACAAAAGATTGACATTGGCTATCATTAGCTCGGACATGCACAAATTGCTCGTGGGTTTCTAGAACTTCAAAGCTCTACTTATCATTATTCCTCAAGACCCAAATGCCCCCCACTAAACCCCTATGCACCAACAATCTGATAGTAAGAAAATCCCAACCGCTGTACTCTTCTTCTGGCTTTATCACCACTTATTTGAGTCTTTAGAATAGCAAGAAAATCCACTTTGTGCTTTCTAACCAATTCTCGGACCAAGCCTGGGAAGGAGGGGCCCCCGTCCCTCTTGCATTCCAAAAAAGTAGCTTCATTAATTAACAATTTCTAAAGAAAGGGGTATAGCACCCACTGTTAGCTCCATATTTGTCAGTTGGAATTCTCTATTTACATTAGCCCCACGACTCACTTTCCTGCATCAACCGCTGTTCTTGAAATCCAGAGTACTGTGGTTTTATATCGTGGGCTCTATTCCCTTCTGTGCCCTGATTATATCCTCTGCCCAATCTATAGTGTCTGGTGTTGAAAATGGGTTATTAGAGACTAGCGCGCGTTGGGCCTGTAGTAGCCTCACAGGTTTGATAGGTTCATCGGTTTTTTATTGGACCGCTTCTATTTTCTTTGCCTGTTCCCCCCTCTCGAGCTTTTGGTGCTATTCTTTGGGCCCACTTGCACCCAGGTTTTATTAGGGATATTCCTGCCAACTCTCCCAGCTTGTTCTCTCTCCATTGTATCCATGCCTCCATTGAGGAACTATTCTCTCCCTGTTATCCTATTTAAGACTTCCGCCTTATCAGGCATATATACTTCTTAACCCTATCCTCCATCTATCCTCATTTGGTCTTAGTTCCGGAGAGAATCATTGACTTTTATTTCCTTTTATACCCATGAGATTTCGAGAATCATGTTGATTCCGATCCTTGCCTGCACCCTCCCGATCTCCATAATTGCTAGTGCCAACCATTGATTTTCCCCATGAAAGTTGGCAGTTGAGTAGTATTTCCCTGTTTGTCTCTTGAAGAGATTCGTCAGACCAAACTTGGTCTCCACCACCAGAGTAGCTCCGTTCCGGCCCCCCCTATACTGGCGACCATCAACCGCTGTTCCTGAAATCCAGAGTGCTGGGGTTCTAAATCACCAAAATGCCTTTTAGTATAATTCTGAGTTTTAACCCAAAATAAATAAATAAGATAATCAAAATTACATGTCATTTGTCACATAATTTTTAATAAACTGGCATGGCACTCACTCTATTACATTTAACGGCCATTTCATGGTAAGGGGCTCATGGTCAAAATCTGAAAGTTGAGGGTGTGTCTTTTAAACTTTTAAAGTTGAGGGGGTCTTATGCAAGTCACCTAGAGGTGAGGGCATTATGTGTATTTTGGCCAACTTTTAATTAGGTTCGTACCATGGTGTTAAATTTTTGAGGATGTGAGGTCATTTGTGGACCCCATATTTATTTGAGGATTAAATCAAGATTTCGTTAACATCCTTAAAAAGAAGAATCATTAGAGTCTTTAACAATTTTCTCTGAACGTACCCTTGTCGGCCCAGCTGTGCGGTTGCGGTGAATGAAAAGATACATCACCCAACTCCAATACTAACTTATAAGTAGTTTTTTAATCGTAATTTATAAAATACGAGTTAAGTATATGAAAAAAATTTATCTCAACTTATATAAAGCGTACTTAAAAGCACTTATCTAAACCAACCCAAATAAGCACTGGATAATGGGAGAGTTAAACTCATGAAGCTTCCCCATTTTGGCGTGTTAATTATCCAAAACTCATATATTCATAATCATTAATTAAACTAACACAGCCCTCGCACAGATTTAAGTAAATTAAAAAACTAGGTCATAAACTAACACATGCGTCACAATTTTGAGTTGTATATTTAATGTAGCTAAAATAAACATATATAATTCCTTAGTTTGAAAATATACGCATCAAATCTTTAAAGATGTTTGATTTTTTTTTCAAGTTTTAATTTGAATTTTTCCTATTATTTAATGCATTTTTTATTTTTATTACTAATTAATTATATATTTCCCTCATCTTTTTTTCAATCATTCTCACTAATATCTTTCCTCACTCATTCTTTATCCTACTCACTCACTCCATAAATAAGGATGTTTTAGAAAAAGAAGTTATATTTTTACATGTTTTTCATTTTGAACTAATTTTAACCAATTTTTTGAATTGAGTTATTTAATTATTTTATACGTATATTTTAAATCAGAGAAAATTTTATTAAGGTTGCATCTTACTCCTTCGATCCTAAATATAAGATCTTTATACTCTTATGGTAAGGGTCTTATATTTAGGACAGGAAGAGTAGTTCATAATTTTAAAAAAGTGGGATTCAACTGTATATGTGATGTGGTGGCATGAAAACGAGAGGATGCATGAAATGTTATATTTGATGCTCATAGCGATGCTACTCAATTATGGGACTTAAATTTCATCTGAATTTTGTCGTTTATGTATGATTATCTTTATCTTTCAGCGAGACCTTGTCGCCACAGCTGTGCGGTTGTCATAAAGGGAAAAGACCCTGCGACGTCAATAAAGAAGATTTACTCAATCTTGTTTTAGTATGTTAAAGGTAACTAGTTTATAGAAATTAAAAAAAACTAATTAAATTAGTAATTTAAAAAATATATGTTAATTTTCTTGAAGTGTCCTCTCCGGTAATTTACATTGAAAACTACCGCATCGATGAAAAATTCTTTAATATGTAAAATTAATTAATAGAGATGCTTTAAAAAGAAATTAGAAATGGAAGAGATAAAGTAAGTTGAAATATTACATTTAGGACCAAAAGAAAATTTTTGATAAATTTCCACGTTTAAGATTGGAGGGAGTCCAAAAGAATCATGGTGTTATTGTTTTGTCCTACACTTAATAAATGAGAGCTGATAAAGCTAAGTTTAAAATTCTGTTGACAAAAAAAAACATTAGTTTAAAATTTTGAGATTCTCTCAATCATGTTTATAAGCAATCCTGTCAAATTGTTTACCATCTTTTTTACTCTCAAAGTTTTTAATATAAAGAAGCTAGATAACTAATTTATTAAAAGTAAAATAATTATTCAAGGTGTTTATTTGTAAAAGATGTGTGTTAATTTTCATGAAATACTCTCTTTAATCATTTACACTTGAACTCCTCTTTGATAGAAACTATGTATTATGTGCAATCAATCGAGATAGTTTTAAAAAAAAAACAAATTTAAAAAACAAAACGGATTGAAGTCTTGTATTCAATTATAACTAAATTAAACCACCTAACTACTATATCTGAGGAGTATAGTTTTGCCACGCTATAAATAATTTAGAGCAAAAAATTATACATATAAAAAAGGAAATAAAGTCGCTTATCAGTGAGCAATATCTAGTAAGTTTAAACGTCGTTATATAAAGAGACTTAAATTTATTGAGTTTGAAATTGTAAAGGGCCCCAGAGTTGAAGCCATCACTGATTGCGATTGTTTTGAAGCTTCAAGACCAAATTGACGGTCGCAATAATTGGAGCAAGGAAAAAAAATGATATGACTGAAAACTGTAGCTTCTTCATTATTATTGTGGAAAACTAAGACAAAAGTTGGCAAACAAATTAAAGAAAATTGTTTTGGATCTTGAATCGTACATATATTAGGAACATTTCGGGGTGGATGTAGGGATGGATGATAAGGATAATCAGAGGTTGGTTATTATGCGACGTGTATGTTTGGTTAGCCTTCTTAAGCAAAATACAAAAGTCACTGCATAATTAATCTGTAAAAATTAAATAAATAGTTAAGTTAGTTATTCTTGTAATTATTTGCATTAAAAATTATCCCTTAATTAAAATCTTATAACGATCACTTATATTTAGAATTGGAAACAGTATATGTGGAGTCAGTTGCAGTGTCCAGATTTAAAATTTTTAATCAATTGTTTTTAAGTAACAAATTTTCTTTTAAAGAATAATAGTTAAGAGATTATCTCTATTTTAGATTGTATTCATATTAAAATAATCATATAAAAATATAAAAAAAATCAAATCTAGACCATCCAAATAAGATATTGATCATCAAGATCTAATGAGTCTAAAGTACTCATCAAAGTGATGAGCACAGAAACTGATTCCTAATAGTGCAATTATGATCTATGGGAAGAGGAGAGCTGTGAAAGATGATTACAATCGCCCAAGCTATTCATGAATGGACTGCTTTGTCCCAGCTTATAATGTGAAATGACAGCAATTATCCTCCTACGTACATTTCATCAAATTCAGGAACCTACCATGCGAGCTAGAGGACTGACAGTGATTTTGAGTTGATTATACTATGATTAAAGGGAAATGTTCTTTAATTTGGGCTAAACTCATTGATTGCAATCTCTATTTGTTCCTCAACTCTTTACAATTCCATTGTATTAATGTTGTATGGTAAAATTGTACATTTACCCTATAATAAAATAAAAGGTATTGAGTTTTAAGATTTTACTAGCAACATTTCCGAGAAAAAATTACTCTTTCAGTCTTTAATATAAGACAAATTTAACTAGTTTGATTATATTAAAGAAGTTAGGTAAGTTAATTATAAGAAATATGACATATTTTTCCTAAAACACTATAATCATCTTTTTTAATATCATTCCTCCCTTACTTATTTGATTATGATTAAGAGAGTATTCATAGGGGTGGTTTAGCACAAATTGATAAATATAATAAATAGATCTTATATTTAGGACCAAAATTAATTTAACAGTTAGGTCATATATTTAGGACCGAAGAAGTACTGTTTTCTTTCTTTGTATGAATAGTTAAGTTTGGGTCCCTCACATGTAAATGCAAACAAGCTAAAGAGATCAAACGTCCTACAACAGAAAATCACACAAACTAAACATAACCACATAAATAATCCTCATAAATGATTTTACTACCCTCTATGCTTATTTATCATTAATTATGTCCAATTAATTAACAGTGAGTGCCAAGAAACCTAAGATTATATGCGTGTAAATGTATAGAAATAATAAACATTGGCAATGTCCTTCTTGAGACACATTTTTAGAATATTCCACTACATTCTTCAACCGATCCTAGAGGATATATGGCCATTATTCCAGTTATATCTAGTACTCCCTCCCACTGCTAACACACACGCACGCACGCACGCACGCACAACCTCTGATCCCTTTCATAAATCCTGCTAACAACTTTGATGATCTGAATAAAATTAGTTAAAAGTTGTTAAATATAGCAAATTTTAACAATTCCAAACAACCACTGGTATAGTTAATTGGATAGACAAAGATGAGAAGGATGAAAGAGATAAACAAGAGTAAAAAAGACAAAAGCGTATTTTGAAATTGCGTCATAGGTGCTTCATTAAATTTCATAAAGAATTTTGCATTAAGGACTAATTAATCGATATGGAGGGGTATATATTTATTATACTTGAAATTTTGGCGTCAATAGCAGTAAAAAGCTAGGAGTAGTTTAAGTTGGACAAATTTAAACGTAATATATATATATTTATATATATATATATATATATATGGTAGAGAAAGGGCTAGAAAAGAGAAAAGGAAGCCACTTGGAACATAATTTTATTTATGTTAGGCTTCAGATACAGAGGCGGAAAAGGAAAGCACACGAAGCATTATATATTTTATTTATTATTACGTGCAAGGAGTTATGTAAACTGCCTGCAACACGCAGTGGCTTCATCAGCATTTCCGCAGCACAGTCCACCCTTCATGCACAAGATGATTCAGCCTTACGAAACACGACAACGAAAGGATTATCATCGTTAATAGACAAAATTCTGTGTCCTTTGTTGTCGTTGGAAAGCCCCAGAGCCCTGCAAGACTCTTCACCACTCTCACAGAACACAATCTTGTAAGTCGAACCACGATGTGTCTGAATTCTAAACGAACCGCGTACGGTGTCTGGCTGTCCCGCAAGTTTCACTTGCCTATTCTCCTCTTCTTGGCCGACGATCGTCCATCTCGCCGGTTTCGCGGCGCACTGTGGTGGTGCAACGGCGGTGAGGTCCACTTCAAGGTTTGTGTAGAGATAACGGACTCTGTAAGGAGAAGAAAGTCTGGTGGGCGAACCGTTGGATTGTTCTGACAAGGCTTGAACAACGGTAACAGCGCAAGATTCGCCACCAGTGGCAGCAAGGTCGAGGCCGCCACCGTTTCCAGACCGTGCTGGGAGGATGTTGTATGAGCCACCATTTCTGACGGGGTTGCCTTCAGTGTCAACAACCAAAACACCAGCTTTGGCTGATGTGAAGGCAAAGACAAGGAAGAAGAGGGCAAGCAAGGCAGCCTTCATTGTGAGCAGATCAGAGGGTTTCTGTATGCGTTTGTCTGATGGAGTTGTGTGGAAACGAGAGTATGAAGCTTCTATTTATAGGCCCACTCGATACTTGGCAGGGGTCGTTTAGGTATTTCGTTATGAATGCAAAAGATTTGGCAAAACTTAAAAAGAAGAATCATTAGAGTCTTTAACCATTTTCTGTGAACCTACCCTTGTCGGCCCAGCTGTGCGGTTGCGGTGAATGAATAGATATGTCACCCAACTCCAATGACCTAGTGTGAAAACAACTTATAAGTAGTTTTTTATTTACAGAATATAAAGTAAGTATATAAGAAAAATTTTATCTCAACTTACATAACATGTGTTTATAAGCACTTATTTAAGCCCACCCAAATAAGCATGTGATAATGGGAGAGAGTTAAACTCATAAAGCTTCCCCATCTTGGCATGTTAATTATCCAAAACTCACATAGTCATAATCATTAATTAAACTAACACAGCCCTCTCACAGATTTAAGTAAATTAAAAATCTAAGTTATAAAATAACACATGCGTCACAATTTTGAGTTGTATATTTAATGTAGCCAAAATAAACATATATAATTCCTTGGTTTGAAAATATAAGCATAAAACCTTTAAAGATGTTTGATTTTTTTACAAGTTTTAATTTGAATTTGCCCTATCATTTAATGCATTTTTTTATTAACTAATTATAGATTTCTCTCATCTTTTTTTCATTCATTCTCACTAATATCTTTTCTTACCCATTCTTTATCCTACTCACTCACTCCATAAATAAGGATGTTTTAGGAAAATAAGTTATATTTTTACACGTCTTTTATTTTTAACTAATTTTTTGAATTGAATGATTTAATTATTTGATACTTATATTTTAAATCGGAGAAAATATTATTAAGGCTCCATCTTAGTTCATAATTTATAAAAATGGGACTCAACTGTATATGTGATGTGGTGGCATGAAAACGAGAGCATGCATGAAATGTTATATTTGATGCTCATAGCGATCATGCTACTTAATTATGGGAGTTAAATTTCATCTAAAATTTGTCGTTTATGTATGATTATCTGTATCTTTCAGCGAGACCTTGTCGCCACAGCTGTGCGGTTGTCATAAAGGGAAAGGACCCTGCGACGTCAATAAAGAAGATTTACTCAATCTTGTTTTAGTATGTTAAAGGTAACTAGTTTATAGAAATTAAAAAAATTGATTAAATTAATAATTTAAAAAATCTATGTTAATTTTCTTGAAGTATCCTCTCTAATAATTTACGTTGAGAACTACTACATTGATGAAAATTTATTTAATATGTGAAAGTAATTAATAAGGATAGTTTAAAAAGAAATTATAAATGCTGGCAAAAAAAAATTATAAAAGGAAGAGACAAAGGGAGTCTAAAAGAATCATTGTACTATTGTTTTATCCCACCCTTAATAAATGAGAGATGATAATGCCAAGTTTAAAATTTTGAGATTCCCTCACTCATATTTATAAGCACTCCTATCAACTTGTTTACCATATTTTTTACTCTCTTTAAGTCCTTAATATAGAGGAGTTAGATAGATAATTTATAAAGCGTAAGATAATTAATTAAGTTGTTTATTTGTAAAAGATGTGTGTGAATTAATACTTTCTCTAATCATTTGTATTTGAACTCCTTTTTAATAGAAATTTTGTATTATGTGCAATCAATCGAGATAGTTTAGAGAAAATATAATAAATTTAAAAAATAAAACAGATTGAAGTCTTATATTCAATTATAATCAAATTAAACCACCTAACTACAATATTTGAGGATTGTATTTCTGTTACCTTATAAATAATTTAGAGCAAAAAATTATACATATAACAAAAAGGAAATAACGTCGCTTATCAGTGAGTAATATCTAGTAAGTTTAAACGACGTTATATGTAGAGACTTAACTTTATTGAGAGTTTGAAATTGTAAAGGGCCCCAAAGTTAAAGCCATCACGGATTGCGATTGTTTTGAAGCTTCAAGACCAAATTAACGGTCGCAATAATTGGAGCAAGAAACCCCAAAAAAAAAAAAAAGCAAAATGATATGACTGAAAACTGTAGTTTCTTCATTATTATTGCGGAAAACTAAGACAAAGTTGGCAAACAAATTAAATAAAATTGTTTGGGATCTTGAATCGTACATTTATTAGTACCATATCGGAGTGGAGGTAGGGAGGGATGATAAGGATAATCAGAGGTTCATTACTATGCGGCATCTATGTTTGGTTAGCCTTCTTGAGCAAAATATAGAAGTTACTGCATAATTAATCTGTAAAAATAAAAAAAAATAGTTAAGTTAGTTATTCTTGTAATTATTTGCATTAAAAATTATCACTTAATTAACATCTTATAACGAACACTTATATTTAGAATTGGAAACAGTACGTTTTTGGTGCAATTAAGATCTGTGGGAAGAGGAGAGCTGTGAAAGATGATTACAATCGCACAAGCTAGCTATTAATGAATGGACTGTTTTGTCCTCAGCTTATAATGTGAAATGACAGCAATTATCCTCCTACGTACATTTCATCAAATTCAGGAACCTACCATGCGAGCTAGAGAACTGACAGTAATTTGAGTTGATTATGCTATGATTAAAGGGATAAGTTCTTTAATTTGAGCTAAACTCATTGTTTGCAATCTCTATTAGTTCATCAACTCTTCGCAATTCCAGTGTATTAATGTTGCATGGTAAAATTGTGCATTTACCCGATAATAAAATAAAAGGTACTGAGTTTTAAGATTTTAGTAGCAAACGTTTCCGGAAAAAAATTACTGTTTTCTTCGTGTGAATAGTTAAGTCTGGATCCCTCACATGTAAATGCAAACAAGCTAAAGAGATCAAATGCCCTACAACAGAAAATCACGCAAAAACTAAAATAAGCACATAAATAATCCTCATAAATGATTTTACTACCCTTATGCTTATTTATCATTAATTTTGTCCAATTAATTAATCATGAGTACGAAGAAACCTAGGATTATATATGTGCAAATGTATAGAAATAATAAGCATTGTCAATGTCCTTCTTGAGACACATTTTTACAATATTCCACTACTTTCTTCGACCGATCTTAGAGGATATATGGCCATTATTCCAGTTATATCTAGTACTCCCTCCCACTGCTAATACACACACACGCCCTCTGATCCCTTTCATAAATCCTATTAACAACTTTGATGATGTGAATAAAATTAGTTAAAAGTTGTTAAATATAGCAAATTTTAACAATTCCAAAACAACCACTGGTATAATTAATTGAGTAGACAAAGATGGGGGAGAAATTCTTAGGTGCACTAGGAGCACCAGCTCATTTGTAGTCTGTCCAATAAGAATACTCTAACTCAGGTAATTTTAATCCCACATGTCACTCTATTCATTTCTATTAATTTATTGTTTTAAAAAAATAAAAATATCAGGGTTTAATGATTTCCTTTACTACCCCTTACCTTTTCTCGATAGCTTCCTTGTCTCTCAGTCTCAAATTCTCCCTCCCTCCCTTCATCTCTCTATTTACTTCTTAGATCCCAACGGCGGTGGCATCCTACACCAGTGATGGCAAAAATCCTTCATTAGCAACCGTGGTGATTCTAGTCTTGAACCTAGAACACATGCAATAGGTTGTAGATCCAGTTCCACTGTGCATTTTTTCCCCTTCCACTTTGCGGATCTGAATCAACAAAGCTTCTTCTCCCTCTTCTTGCTTTAATCTTAGAAATAAGAATAACGGTAACAAAAAGCATTCCCCTCAAACTTTCTCTCTCTTAAATCGCTATTTTCAAGCTCCTTTCTCTAGCTACTTACTCTATCTCTAGCTATATGTATTAGTATCAACACATTGTGGATTTGAGATCTGGTGTTGGGATCTTTTGAAGTTGGAGCATTTGGATGCGAGTGTGAGAATGGTGACAGCGTTGGTAAGATCAGCTATGGCGGATATTTCTGGCGAAGAGGGAGGGGTGGCGCCGGATGAGGTGGAGGCGAAGGCTGAGGTTCTGGAAGGAAGGTCGTCAATGAAGGGAGGGAGTGAGGAAGAGAGGAGTTGAGAAAGAGAAAAGGGAGGGCAACCTGAGGAATTTATCAAAGACATTTTTAATTTTTAAAACAATAAAACAATTAAAAGTAGCTGGCTGACATGTGAGATTAAGAATGTCTGAGTTGGAGCCTTCTCATTGTATGAGCACAGATGAGTTGGTGCTGCTGGAGCGCCTAAGAATTTCTCCTAATGGATATGATCTCATGTATAGGATTGGAGGGGTGTATATATTATCCTTGTAATTTTAGTGTCAATAACAGTAAGAAGGTAGGAGTAGTTTAAGTTGTACACCTTCGCTACTATAAAAAAGAGCTTTCACGACACTAATTTACGACGATCATTAGAAAAAACACTGTAAAAAACATGATGGTGGTATTTTTGTAATTATAGGGAAGTGAATTTTACTTTTCACGGCGATTATTTAAAAAACCGCTGTTAAAAGTATTTCTTTTAACAGCGGTGTTAAGAAATACTTTTAACAGCGGTTTTTTAAATAACCACTTTAAAAAGTCTATCAGAATTTTAAAACCCTATCCATCATGCGATAGTTTTTACTTTTCAGAGTCAGAGCTCATAATCCCCCATTACCTCCTCACTCGATTTTCTGCCTCCTCCTACCTTTGCTTCTATCATCTCCGCCATGTTCTTCCATCACCGTTGCTGTCGTTGTTACCGTCACTATTGCCATTTCACCCTTTCTCCTCCATTCTTTCCATGGTTTTCATAGTTTTTGTGGTTTGACAGCCTGAAATTCATGAATTTTATCAAATCTGAGTTTTTTATTTTACTTTTATTAAATCTTAATAACTTCGATCTGGTGGTAGAAAGCGAAGCGAAAGGACGCTATTACGATGGAAAAGAATTTACATTTGTTTCATCAAAATGCTTTTAACTAGTAAGAGGTTATTAGTTAATTAATTCTCAAACCCCTTCCTTTGGGGCTTTGTTATTCCCATCCTAATCAATAGGATGAAAGTAACCTAAAAAAAAAAAAATTTCACGGCGGTTATTTATATAAACGCCGTGAAAAATCACATACCATGCCGGTTCTTCAACCATCGTGAAATCTTTTATATTTTATGTCGATAGCATAGACGTCGCTCTTAAAACCATCATGAAAAACTCATTTTAACCGTTGTTAAATATATTTTTTGTAATAGTGCTTCAAACGTAATATTTATATATATATATATATATATATAGTAGTGAAAGAGCTAGAAAAAAGAGAAAAGGAAGCCACTTGGAACATGATTTTATTTATGTTAGGCTTCAGATACAGAGGTAGAAGAGGAAAACACATGAACCATTATTCTATTATTACGTGCAAGGAGTTATGTAAAGTCTTGCAACATGCAGTGGCTTCCTCAGCATTAACGCAGTGCAGTCCACCCTTTATGCGGCAGATGATTGAGCCTTACGAAACACGACAACGAAAGGATTTTCATCGTTAATAGACAAAATTCTGTGTCCTTTGTCATCGTTGGAAAGCCCAAGAGCCCTGCAAGACTCTTCACCACTCTCACAGAACACAATCTTGTAGGTCAGGCCACGATGTGTCTGAATTCTAAACGAACCACGTACGGTGTCTTGCTGTCCCGCTAGTTTCACTTGCCTATTCTCTTCTTTTCGGCCGACGATCGTCCATTTCGCCGGTTGGGCTGCGCACTTTGGTGGTGCAACGACGGTGAAGTCCAAATCAAAGTTTGTGGGCAGATAAAGGATTTTGTAAGGAGAAGAAAGTCTGGTGGGCAAACCGTTGGATTGTTCGGACAAAGTTTGAACAACGGTAAGAGGGCAAGATTCGCCGCCGATGGCCGCAAGGCTGAGGCCGCCGCCGTTTCCCCGGCGTGCTGGAAGGATGTAGTATGAGCCACCATTTCTGACGGCGTTGCCTTCGGTGTCAACCAAAATACTTGCTTTGGCTGATGTGAAGGCAAAGACAAGGAAGAACAGGGCAAGCAAGGCAGCCTTCATTGCTTGAGATCAGAAGGTTTCTGTATGTGTTTGTCTGATGGAGTTGTGTGGAAATGAGAGGATGAAGCTTCTATTTATAGGCACACTCGATTCTTGGCAGGGATCGTTTAGGTATTTCCTTATGAATGCAAAAAGATATAGCAAAACTTTGGCGTCCGATGAGAACTTTATCCGATCCGTTGGATTAAAAATAATAACATTTTCAAACTTTTAATTAGGTTCGTACAATGATGTTAAAATTTTGTGGATGTGAGGTCATTTGTGGACCCCATATTTATTTGAGGTTTAAATCAAGAATCCTTGGCAGAATTTCGTTAACTATTTTCTCTGAACGTACCCTTGTCGGACCAGCTGTGCGGTTGCGGTGAATGAAAAGATATATTACCCAACCCCACTATCCTAGCATTTGTTGGGGATACCATTTTTTTTAATTTGTTGGGGATATCATTTTTTTTAATTATGATTTACGTAATACAAAATAAATATATATAAAAAATTTTATTTTGATTTATGTAAAATATATTTATAAATACTTATTTAAGCAAACTCAAAAAAGCACCTGATAATAGAAGAGAGTTGAACTCAAATGCTTCCCCATTTTGGCATGTCAATTTATTATCCAAATCCCATATTCATAATCATTAATTAAACTAACACAGCCCTCTCACATATTTAAGTAAATTAAGAAAACTAAGTTATAAACTAACACATGCATCACCATTTTGAGTAGTATATTTAATGTATAGCTAAAATGAACATATATAATCCCTTCGTTTGAGAATATAAGTATTAAATCTTGGTAGACGTTTCATTTTCTTACAAGTTTTACTTCAAATTTATCCCATCATTTAATGCATTTTTTTTATTTGTATCCCTAATTAATTATATATATCTCATCCTTTTTTCTTCATTCATTCTCTCTAATATCTTTTTTCACTCACTCTTTATCCTACTCATCCACTCCATAGATAAGGATGTTTTAGAAAAAGAAAAAGTTATATTGGTACGTGTCTTTTATTTTTATCTTTAAACTAATATTTTGAATTGAGTGATTTAATTATTTGATACTTATATTTTAAACCCGAGAGGCCTCCATCTTAGTTCATAATTTATAAAAATCGGACTCAACTGTATGTGCGATGTACGTGGTGGCATGAAAACGAGAGGATGCATGAAATGAAATGTTACACTTGTCGTTTATGTATGATGGGAGTTAAATTTTGTCGTTTATGTATGATTATCTTTCGACGAAACGTGGCCGCCACAGCTGTGCGGTTGTCATAAAGGGCAAGGACCCTGCCACGTCAATCAAAAAGATTTACGCAATCTTGTTTTAGAATGTTAAAGGTAACTAATTAATAGAAATTTAAAAAATTGATTAAATTAATAATTTTAAAAATATGTGTTAATTTCCTCGAAGAATCCCCTCTAATAATTTACACTGCAAAGTAACACATTAAAGAAAATTTATTTAACAGGTAAAATTAATTAATAGGGATAATTTGAAAAGAAATTATAAATGGGAGAAAAAAAATAAGTTGAAATATTACATTTAGAGGCGAAATAAAATTTTTAATTAACTTTTATATTTAAAATTGGAGGGTTCCAAAAGAATCATGGTATTATTGTTTTGTCCTACACTAAATAAATGAGAGGTAATAAGGCTAAGTTTAAAATTCTGTTGACAAAAAAAAAAGTTTAAAAGTTTGAGATTCTCTCGCTCATGTTGACAAGCACTCCTCTCAACTTTACCATCTTATTTTTTTTCTAAGTCTTTAACAGAGAAGAGCTAAATAATTAATTTGTAAAATATAAGATAATTAGTCAAGCTATTTATTTGTAAAAGATGTGTGTTTAATTTTCATGAAATACTCTCTTTAATCATTTGCATTTGAACTCCTATTTGATAGAAACTCTGTATTATGTGCAATCAATAGTAGTTTAAAAAAATATAACAAATTTAAAAAATAAAACGGATTCAAGCCTTATATTCAATTATAACCAAATTAAACCACCTAACGAGCAAAAAATTATACATGTAAAAAAAAAAGGAAATAAAGTTGCTTATCAGTGAGTGTTATCTCGTAAGTTTAAAACGTCGTTATATATAGAGACTTGAATTTACCGAGGTTAAAATTGTAAAGGGCCCCAAAGTTAAAGCCATCATTGATCGCGATTGTTTTGAAGCTTCAAGACGAAATTAATGCTCGCCATAATTGGAGCAAGAAACCACTAAAAAAGGGGAAAAGAAAGTAAAATGAAATGACTGAAAACTGTACCTTCTTCATTATTATTGTGGAAAACTAAGACAAAAGTTGGCAAACAAATTAAATAAAATATAGAAGTTACTACATAATTAATCTGTAAAAATTAATAACATTAGTTATGTTAATTATTTTTGTAATTGTTTGTGTTGAAATTATCGTTTAATTAAGATCCTATGACGAACACTTATATTTAGAATTGGAAGCAATATATTTTTGGCGCAATTATGATCCGTGGGAAGAGGAGAGCTGTGAAATATTGTTGCAATTGCACAAGTTATAATGTAAAATGACACCAGTTACCCTCCTACGTGCATTTCATTAAATTCAGAAACCCTACCATGCGAGCTGGAGGACTGACAGTAATTTGAGTTGATTATGCTATGATTAAAGGGATATGTTCTTTAATTTGAGCTCAACTCATTGTTTGCAATCTGTATTAATTCCTTAACTCTTCACAAGTCCAGTGTATTAATTTTGCAGGGTAAAATTAATAAAAGGTATTGAGTTTTAAGATTTTGAGCTAAGATTTGATGTCTTCAAACACTTCCCTTCAATGTTATTATGAATCATAAAGTTTATTTATTTTTATTGGCTTATTTAGTTGAAAATACATAAATTAGCTTTGTGGACATGATCTTTGAAATACCAAGATCTTCACGAGAATAGCTAGAGAGGATTTGAATAACTTATCTTTGTTGTGGCTATATGAACACTTTGTCTGTGGAATTTTTTGTAAATTCTATAATGATGAATGAACTTTTTCCCTGAGAAATATAATTAGAAAATTATAGTTAAAGGAAGAATATTTTAGGAAAACCAAAAGCGTTACAACTTTTTTTTTAGTTAACGGAGGAATAACGGTTGAATTGATGTGAACAGAATTTTAAAAATAGGAGAGATATTTTTTAAAAAATAACTTTTAATTTTGAGAGAGGTTTGTGTATAAAAAATAGGCAAAATTGCAATCAGGTCCTAAGGAAGAAATTTAATCGCCTAAAGTCTATTGACAATAAAGAGCAAGTAATGACAAATTCCAAAATAGATAATGACAACAGGTTTAGACTGATTATTTGTCATTAAGATTTTTTAGTAATTAAATTTCTTTCTTGGTACTTCTTGGTAATTCTCCCTGAAAAATAACTTTTAATTTTCAGTGGGTCAGGAAATTTAAGGGGATCACAATTCACAACTTTAAGTTTATTTGGTCATCCCCGTATTGGGTCATCAACTCCCCCTTCTTCTCTTTGGGTAATCGATCGCTTCAAGTCTTGGCCTCTATCAAATAATTTGCTCAACTTAACAACTGCAGAGACAGCAGTACAAATGAGATTATCTCGAAGGACATAATCTTTCTTTGTCAATTGTTTTCTCATTTAGATGTAGTAGTTCACGCGTTGCATCTTGGATTATCTAAATTTTCTCATTTTTATTCGACTTCAGTTCTGTACTTGTGAGGAGACTATCTTTTCTTTTTAGTGTTATTTGTGTATTTATATTTAATTAAGATATTTTTGTATTTACATCGCCTGATTAATTAGTTGGCATTTCAGTTTAATTAAAATAAAAGATAAAAGGAAAAAAAATATTTCCCAATAAAAATTCAGGGATTTTACTAGCAAATGCTTCCGGAAAAAATTTTTTTACTGTTTCCTTCGCATGAATACACACCAATTAATACAGTACGATGCTCCCATCTCCAACAAGCCAAGTCTGGATCCCTCACATGTAAATGCAGACATCTTAAAGAGATCAAATGTCTTACAACAGAAAATCACAGGAAAACTAAAAATAAGCACATAAATAATCCTCATAAATGATTTCACTACCCTCTATGCTTATTTATCATTAGTTACGTCCAGTTAGTTAATAACGAGTACGAAGAAATTTAAGATTATATACCTGTAAGCGTATAGAAATAATAAACTTTGTAACTGTCTTCTTGAGACATGTTTTAGAATATCCCCTACTTTCTTGGACCGATCTTAGAGTATATATGGCCTTCATTCCAGTTCTACCCATTAAACAACTTTGATGATGTGATAAAATTAGTTTAAAAGTTAAATATAGCCAATTTCAACCAATTCCAAAACAACCACTGGTATTAGTTCACTTCCTTTTGTATTAAGAACTAA